GAAGAGGGGGGGAGGAGGAACCGGGAGACCTCGACTGGGGTACCTGACGTAGTAGGGGGTGGACTCCTCGAAACGGACGTCACGGGAGTCAAAGAACCGGTGAGAGGGAGGGTGGTAAAAGGTGAAGTCAGAGGAGTCCTCAGGGAAACCAAGGAAGACACAAGGAACGGCGCGAGGCGAGAGCTTGTCCGCAGAGGTGTCGCGGACAAGAGCCAAGCACCCCCAGACACGAAACCTCGACGCGACACCAGGGGACCCTGTCCAAAGACTGGTCGGTGAAGCCTCCGGCCGAGAGACACGTGGCCAGAGGTTCAGCTGGTGCGCGGCGTACCTGACTGCGTATGGCCACAGGAAATGGGGGGCACGGGCGTGAGTCAAGGAGGTGCGGGCAATCTCCATGACCAGGCCTATGCGACGCTCAGCAACCCCATTCTGCTGTGGGGACTCCGGAAGCGTCCAGGACTGACGAATGCCCTGTTCGCGACAGAATCCAGCAAGAATGCCGGAGCGAAACTCGCCCCCGCGGTCGGAGTGGAGACAGCTGACACGACGACCACGAGTGTCCTGGGTGGTAAGCAACCACCTGATCAGCGTAGAAGTCACCTCAGACTTCCTCGCCAGGGGGAACACTGTGGTGTAGCGGGAGTAGTCGTCAACGACCACCAAAAAGAAACGCTCACGCTCAGGGCCAGGGCGAGGAGAGGGGCCCCAGACGTCCAAGTGCAGCGTCTCAAAAGGCTCGGTGGCCGGACGAAGGGAGGAGGAGTGAGGGGTGGCGCGCAGCCTACCCTCGACGCAAGGACCGCACGGTGGTGCAAGGGACGGCGGCAGCGACGGCAAGACACGCGGGAGACCTAAGACCAGACGCTGACTAGACATAGCACGCAGACGTGGAAGAGAAGGGTGTCCCATCCGGTGGTGCCACAGAACGGTGGGGTGGGCGCGAAGGAGCAAGACGCGGCGACTGGACTAGACGCGACAACCTGAGGGGACGGAACCACCTGGTGAGACGCAGGGAGGAGACTAGGACAGGAACTGGGAGGAGTGGCTGCTGCGACGGCGGCCGCTGTGGCTGCGGCTGCGGCTGCTGCTGCTGCTGCTGCTGCTGAGCGCGCGGGCGAGTGTGAAGAGTGTAGAGACCGGAGCCCGGCTCAGCAGCAAAAGTGGCGAGGGGCTGGTAAGAGTCCCCGTCAACACACACCGCAGTCTCTCCAGAAGGCTCAAACCACACACCCACGTGCTGACTCACGAGGGGTCGCACGCCCACCAAGTTCCGGGAGAACGAGGGGACGTGAAACCCAGTGAGAGACCCAGAAGGAGCAGCCGGACACGGCAAGGTGGTAGTGTGACGCGCGGTGACTGGTCCCGAAGTGGGATCAGCCAGCGCCACAGAAACAGGCGCAGGAAGAGGCGTAAGTGTCGTGCTGTCACGAAAGAAGCAGTGAGAGGCTCCAGAGTCCAGCGTGAACGACAGCGAACCGTCCTCTGAGGTAGCCGCTGGACTAGAGTCTACACAAGAACCTACACTAGCAACAGGCAACTGAGCAAGGCTAGCACCTAAGCTAACAACACCAGAGTAAGCAGAGTCAGAAACACTAGAGTCAACAACAGCATACATAGCATGGGGAGTACCAATCAGATCAACTAACTGCTCAGCAGACATGCCCCACAGAGCGGAGCCGTAGCGCTGAACAAGAGGCAGCCAGTCAGGGGCAGGAGCACCAACCCCGTAGACCAAACGAACCGTGTCAGTGAGCTGAGCAAAGCACTGACCAGGGGGGTGAAACCGGCCACAAGGGTGGCCACGACGAGGGCCTGTCAGAACCTGGTAGGTGCAGGGAGTGTAAGCAGTACCACGCTGGGTCTGACGCAGCCCCGACCCTGGAGCCAGCTGCTGCCGCTGCTGCTGCTGAGGCTGCTGGGAGGAGAGGGGCTGCTGGTGCTGCAGAAGCTGCTGCTGACGCTGAGCCTGGTACCACGCCGCTGCTCCACCAACCGGGGCAGGAAGTACAGGAGGCGACTGACGAACTCGGGCGTCGCCACCACCAGCAGGCGCAGTGGAGTCACCAGTCACTGCACGAGGCGCCTCTCCAGGCCCTGAACCTCCACCGCCGCCAGGCGCAACGCCACCTCCACTACCTCCGCCTCCACCTCCACTACCACCACCAGAACCGCCTTTCTTGCCACTCCTACCGCGGGACCGCGACGCAGTCGTAACAGCAGCTGCAGTCGCGTCAGTAGCGGCAGTGGCAAGTGAGGCAGTAAAGGTGGGTAACTGCGGGACTGTGCACCCGTGGAAGAGTGGGGGGGGCACAGCACCAGAGGCAGCGGCTACCGAGCGAAGGTTGCTCTCGACGTCCTTGAGTGTAGACTCAAGGACATCGACTGTGAGCTCACTAGGGTGCTTCAGCAGAAGCGCGTCGCGAACGGAGGCAAGGCGGTCAGGGAGGCTAGTGGCGATGAAATAGATAGTAATCGCCATAGGGGGAGGAAGCAGTGCAAGCTGTGCCTCAGTGCAAGCAGCGCGGTAACTAGCGTCGAGCGAGCGGAGGTGAGCGATCAAGTCAGCAGAGCGCTCAAACGAGGCGAGATCAGGAAACAGGAACGGGAGGAAAAGACGGCCAAGAGAGACAGTAGCGGGAGTAGAGTAGCGGGCCTTAATCGCAGTGAGGTACGCAGCAGCGGTGCGAACCTGAGTGAAGTGGACCTCCTCTGACTCAGGGAGGAGGCTGCTGAGTGCGATGCAGGCCGCAGCGTCACGCGACGTCCAAGCCGTCCTGTCAGCGCGCTGACGGGCAAAGCGAGCCGTAGCAGCATCGTCAGGGGCAGGACCTAAAGCGGCAGGCTCGGGGGGCTCGGGGAGGTCACCAGTAGCGTGCGACCAGAGGGTCTCGCCCCCCTGGACTTGACTCTCTAACAGACGGCGAGCGCGAAGAAGCCAGACGGAAAAGTCAAGAGGTCTACCGTCAGCGTCGAAACGAAGAACTCGCGGAGTCGCCATAGCGAGAACTAACGCGAACGAGCAGGCGAGTAACAGCAGGAGGTAAGAGGCAAATTAGGGTTCAGGTGGGGGGGAGGGGACTTAGGCGCAGCGGAAGAACGGGGTAGGGCGACGGGCCAGGGCGTAGGGTCGACGGGACGGGGGAAAGGGCGGGCGCGATGCGACGGGGCAGGGCGACGGGACGGGGAAGGGCGACGCGACCTGGCAGGGCGACGCGACGGGGCAGGGCGACGGGACGGGGCAGGGCGACGGGACGGGGCAGGGCGACGGGACGGGGCAGGGCGACGCGACGGGGCAGGGCGACGGGACGGGGCAGGGCGACGGGACGGGGCAGGGCGACTCGACGGTGCAGGGCGACGGGACGGGGCAGGGCGACGCGACGGGGCAGGGCGACGGGACGGGGCAGGGCGACGTGACGGGGGGAAAGGGCGCGACGCGACGGGGGGAAAGGGACGCGACGAGGGGGAAAGGGCGCGACGCGACGGGGGGAAAGGGACGCGACGAGGGGGAAAGGGCGGGCAGGACGCGACGCTAGGAGTGGCGCTAGGCGCGGCACTACGCGCGGTAACAACGGAACCGGGACGAATGAGAGCTAGGATCAGGCTCGGGAGGCTCGAACGGAGAACGGAGGAACGGGATCCCACAGGATCCTAACCTAACTGATACCATGTCAGAATGAAGAATGGATGATGCATTGATGTTGGTTGGGGTACATATAGCTAACCCTAAGTTTTGTACCCCCTAAGACAAACCTCACTATAGGCTACAACATTTGACAGGTGCGCAGGGCAGCTGCGGGCCGCGCGGGCTCAGGGCGGGCTGCACCAGCGACCTACGGGGCGCGACGCGGCTGGCAGCAGCTGTGCGCGCTAAAAAAAAAAAAAAAAAAAAAGGGCGTGCGCGGGCAGCAGGCTAGGCAGATACGTATGCAAGGCAGGCAGGTAGGCCGTTGGAGAGGTAACTTAGCACATGGTGGGCCCTTAAGCTTAGGTCTAGGAACCTGCTCTAGATGCCATGTCGAGAGAATCAGGCAAGGTTGAGTTCACTATGGAGAGTTTGGTACAAATAACACAACCCTAAAGTGTTATCTCCTACAACATCTACCCCACTACAGCCTACCAATATATATCACACATATATATCATTTGACAGACCCCCCCAGGTGGCTTGTGCGGGGTGGGTGCTATAGCGGACCTCGTTTCTACTATACCCCCCTTTTGGGGTGACTTTTTATAACACCCTCCTTTCTTACAAATTTGCTTAATGTAGTAGTTAAAGCCAGCAGCTAAAATAGTGACCCCCCCCTTCTAGTTGGGTCCACTTGAAAACACAAGTTTTTTTGGAAGGTTTGGAACGTCGGAAGTGCTCTGCGTTTTTATTTTTCCATTACAGGAGGGTCTCGATGTGAACGGCGAATATTTGGAACTTGTATACAAATCTGATTGGTGGCGACTTCCACCCACATTGGCGTGCGAATTTGGCGCAAGGTTGAATGTGAGTGAATGTATTCACAGGAGTCATGCTCGTGACTTAGCCTTGAAATCAGCAATGCAAAATCCAGCGCACACACAGGCACAATCCAGCGCTCACAGGCAAAATCCAGCGCACACACATGCCAAATCAGACAAAATCCTGTGCACACACAGCAAAATCAGGCAAGACCCAGTGCACACACAGGCAAAATCGCGCGGAAAACAAAAAAAGGGAAAAAAATAGAATGAAATAAAAAATATGAAGGAGAACGATTGCAATGGGAAGAGATGAATGGCGTGGGGATTGTTGATTGGGCGACAGCAAGAACGAAGAGAAGGGAGTGGGGACAAGGGGGCGACGGGACGGCAGGGGAGAGAGGAGGAACGACGTGATGCAGGGAGCGGGGTCAACAAGGGCGACGGGAGGGGAGGGTGTACATGAATAACGACGGAAGGGCAGCGAAGACACCGAAGGCGACGGGAGGGCAGCGGAGAGAGGAAGGGTGACGGAAGGGGAGAGGAGAACACTAGGAAGGCGGGAAGGTAGGGGAGAACGTGAGCGCGATCGAAAGGGGCGGAAGAAAGTGAAGTGACGATAAGTGGAAAGAGATGTGAGGGCGACGAGAAGGGATGGGACATGGCGTCGGTGAGGGCGAAGGAGAAGGGCAGGGCGACGGGATGGGAGAGGAGATCGCGAGGCGATCGCGGCGATTGGAGGCGAGTGAGAGGGCGACGAGGTGGGTGATGTGAGCGGGGACAAGGAGGGCGACGAGATGGGCGATGTGAAGGGAGATAGGAAGGGCGACGGGAGGGCGATTTGAGGCGTGTGCAGAGGCAACGAGGTGGCCGACGCGAAGGGAGAAAGGGCGACGGGAGCGCAATTTGAGGCGCGTATGAGAGGGAGACGAGGTAATTGACAGGAGGAGAAGAGAATAATGGCGACGGGAGAGCGATTTACAGAGAGCGCGACAGAATGAAGAAAATTGAGGTGGCTCGTGAGAGAGAAGAGAGGAAGGGCGACTAAAGACGAGCGCGTCGGCGACGAATTGGGCATTCGGATGGGAGAACGGAAGGGCGACAAGAAGGCGATTCGGGACGAGCGCGAAGGCGACGAATTGGGCACACGGAAGGGAGATAGCAAGGACGACGAGAGGCGATTCGGGGCGAGCGCGAAGGCAACGAATTGGGCACGAGGAAGGGAGAAAGGAAGGGGGACGAGAAGCCGATTCGGGGCGAGCTCGAAGGCAACGAAGTGGGCAATCGGAAGAAATATAGGAAGGGCGACGGGAATGGAGATGAGAATGGTGAGAGGGCGGGCTACGGGAGGCCATTTTTTGGCGAGCGCGATACGACGTGAGGCAGTTGACAGGTAGCGACAGGGAAAGGGAGGGCGAAGCTGAGGTGATGAGTGACGCGGAGAGAGGAGAGCGAAAGGGGCCGACGGTGATGAGAAAGTTGACGAATTGCGCGAGATGAGAAACTAGTTACTATGCTCTCAGCTAATCTAGTTACTGTGCTACGTGTAAAGGTAGTAACTATGGGAGCAGAAGACATCTAGTTATGAACCCAGGCCCAGCTTGAAATTGAAGTTGGGCTTGGCGACGGAAACCATCGCCAGGACACGGTCGTGCAGGCGCAGAGTCAGAAATTTCATTTTGGCGGGAGCCAAAAACATCAATTTGGCGAGAGCCAATCACATGAGAGCATTCTGCCTATACGATTCGTTTGGTCAGACTGGTTTCATTCTCGCTTCGCAACACCTTTTTCAAGTTGGGTCGGGTTCACTATTTTGCATGTCGGTTTTAACGAGAACATCGCGGGAATCATAAAACTGCATGGTAATTTCGAAAGAATCTGCCGAAATCACCTCCCTCCCTCTTTTACGCTGCTGCCACGTCGAAAGAATCACGTTCGCTAACAAGTGGACACAGAGGTGCCACTGCCACCTGGCAATTTCAAGGGGGGTAAAAATGTTCTCGCCAAAACTCACATTCTCGCTTCTAGCTGTGATGTTAAATCAATACTGAAAACACCCAAACTGTCTTCTTATCTAAACCCTTACTACCGCAAAGACGAATAAGGTCCCAATTTTCATATTCGGCGAAGTACGTATTGTCTCTTGCCAGGTATCAGGGTGGGTTTAGTGCTGGGTTGCTCCCCTCTCCCTCCACCCCTCCCTCCCCCCCCTCCCTACTCGTTCTCTCAGTCACCCTCACTCCCTGCGTTCCCTATTCTATCGCCTCTCTTTGACCCTATTCTGATCGCATTCGCCACCTCCTCCTCCAGGCTGTGCCCCTTTGCGTCGTCAATCTCGCGGTCTATTCGCCTCGCCATACGGTTACGGGTGGCACCGCAAACCTCCTCACGCAGAGCCTCCAATTCAGCAAGTACTTTGATTAAGTTGGGGCGCAGCGCAGTGGGCATGGTGGTGCAGCTGAGAGCCAGGCGTGCCATGCGTAGGATAATGTCCGGTGGGGCCTCTAGTGCCGGGTCCTTGAAGGTCACCCCGTCGTTGGCTGCTATGAATGGTGCCACCTGGTGGGGGTAGGGATGGGAGGTGGGAGGTGGGTGAAGAGTAGGGAGAGGAAAGGAATGGGAGGGGAGAGGAGAGGAGTGGAAGACGGTGAAGAAAATTGCACTTTGGGCAATAAGGACAAATGGGGATGAGTACGTGAGAGTCCAGGTGCGTGTCTGCACTTGCATGCCCACAAAGATGGAAGAGAGCGAGAGCAAGTGCATGTGCACCCAACCCAACCCAAAGCCAAACTCTCTACAAGCTATAACGATTTAGCTAAAGACCAACAAGCAAGATGCAGCATTTTTCCAACGTGTGCATGGATATGGGTATGGCCATAGAGATGAGCTGGACAATGGCATCAGCATGGAAAGAGCACCATGAGCATGAGCGTGTGCAAGAAGAGCACGAGCAAAGAGGTGAGGGGTGGGTTTGGACGGACCCATTTTTTTAGGTTGATCTGGTTGTCTTCCGAGTTGTAAATAGCCTTGCGTGCCGTCAGGATTGTGAGCATCACCACTCCAAAGCTGAGAGGGGCAAGGGAGGCCCGGGAAGCATGGGAGACACGGGATGCATGGGATGCATGGGTGGGATGGGAGGGATGGGAGGCGTGGAATGGATGGGAGGGAGACAAATGGGTGGTACACATGAGGAGACGGAAGAGCACAGCAGGAAGTGCAAAAGGGGCACCAAAACTCAACGATTTTCTTCACATAAGTTCCTCTCAAAGATCAACTAGGCCAATATCACAGACCCGTGCACATCACCCATACCTACACACGTCACCCATACCTATTCACATCACCCATCCCTGCACTCATCGTCATCACCTGTGGATATCAGCCATAGGCGTGGCCTTTTGTGACTTGTAGTAAGCTGGGTCCACATAGCCCGGTGTGCCCATCACCCGCGTGGCACCCACTGTCGTAGCCCGGTGTGCCCATCACCCGCGTGGCACCCACTGTCGTGCCCTCGCCCATTCTCACCAGCCCAAAGTCTGCTACCTTTGCCTGCCGTGGAGGGGACGATCAGGTAACGGAGAAGCAACAAGAAAGCAAAAAAATCCAATGGTACAAGCAGTTGAGTTTCTTTTGTGTGCATACACGCATGAAAGCCACATGCAGCAGGCATCAGCGAAGCACATGTAGATGCGTTGTTTACCTGCTTGTGGCATGGCACTGAGCACAAATAGCCAGGTAAGTATGTGTGCTCACATGCATGTTGCTGTCCAGCAGGATGTTAGCGGGCTTGATGTCGCGATGCACGATGCCAAAGCTGTGCAGATACTGCAACCCCTCCGCCACTCCAATCATCACATCCAAGCGCTGCAGTAGAGTGAGCGGCTGGGCGGCAGCTGCGGCAGGGAAGGAAGGATCAAAAGTGACAAACATGAAAGAGGAGGGAAAGACATGGAATCATGGTGGCGGATTATGTAAACGAATGAATAAGCCCCATGTTAACACTGTTCACCACATGAGAATACAATAAAAATATTAGAATCTCAGTCACTACAACATTAGGATTTGTTAAGTAGCGGATGAGCGCGCCCATAACCCCTTGGACTTTGAGCCCATGAACCTTCCTTATAATCAATCGGGGGTCATCCAACACCCCTCTTTCACTGGGATGGCCTAAGACATGGCACAACGGCAACAACACGTGGGCGCCAGCATGCGCGCACATGGAAATTCAAACCGTAAACTTTCGATTTGATACTATGTCAGGATTCCAGCCACTACACCACAGGGATAATTGGTTTGTTAAGTAATGGGTGAGTGTACCCATAACCCTCCAGACTTCGAGCCTAAAACCCTTCCGCAGGATCAATCGGGTAACCTGAGTGTAAGACTTCTGACGAAGAAAGTGCTCGTGCGTAGAAATGAGGAGGACAAGCAATGCAGCATAGAAGAGGGCATAGTTGATTAGCAACACACCAAGTAGACAAGCAAGCATGAAACACACCAGGGCCGAGCCAGCGTTCGAGGTCGCCGTTGGGCATGAACTCGTAGACGAGGATCTGCTCCGTCTGCTCCGTTGTCTCATTGTAATCAATGCAGAACCCCAACAGCCGCACCAGGTGTGGGTGGTGCTTTGAGGCCATCTCGTTCACCTGCATGCAGATGTGCAGGGCGGACGGCAAGGAGGAGGGAGGTGTGGGGAAGCGTTTTGAGGTGTGCATGGTGACCGTCACAGGTGTTTTGCGCGTAAGTGAGATTTTTCATGGAGTCCTCGAGAGGTGGCTGGGCCCAAGCGAGGACCGTTCATTCATGAGGCACCATTCTCAAAATTCATGAGCCTGCATCGGGAGGTCCCACCCCCTGTCGAAACTACTTAAAAAAACACACATTTTTCGATCAAGAAAAAGCCGCTACACATACACAAACACATCCCACTATTCCCACCTCCCGGCGGAAGTCATTGGTGAGCACTTTGGCGCGCTTGACAGCCCAGAGCGTGGAGGGGTGGGCGGGGTCCTCAGCACGATACACATCCCCGAAACCCCCGCTGCCGATCTTATTCGCCTCCGCCCACATGCCCGTTGCCGCTGCCAGCACGTCCAGCCGGTACTGCCGGCACACCGCTGGGCGCCCCACCGCCCCCGCCGCCCCTGCTACTGCTTGCCCCAACGGATTCTTGGACCCAACCGCGCTGCCTGAAGGAGAGAGAGGTGGCGGAGAGAGGTAAGGGAGAGGGTAAGGAAGAGGGTAATTGAGAGGATAAGGGAGAGGGGTGCGGGAGAGAGGAGATGGTAAAGGAGAGGGGTGGGGGAGAGGTGAGTGGGCGGAGAAATTCTGAGGCCGTCATCGAGACATCTCAAAAGCAGACACACGCCACCTTTTCAAACCATTTAACTGCCTGTTGGGACGACTCAAAAACAGCCTCTTATATTTTTGAGCCAATGCACGCACCCTTTCTAGGAAGATAACTTTTCGAGACTGCCTGTTGAGCAGACTCAAACGACGGCAATTGTCCCACCGGTGACCAGCCCTATCTTCGTGAAACACTTGACCACCAGTATAAGCTGCCGCAAGACTTTTGAGTCGACTCGGCACACACCCAGCCTATGCGCTTTCAGGTCAAAACAAGACTCTAAGCTGTCCTGAACGACGATATTTGTCGTACCACACCTATCTGCTTGAAGAGGCACCATCCAGCGTCTGCAGCAGCTGGATGACTCTTCAGTCGACTCAAAAGTTCCCTCAAACGACAACACTTTTTACCAGTGACCTGCCCTACGTACCTAAGCCAACACCTGCAGCCGCTGCAGCAGATTCAGCAGCTTTTGAGGCGCCTCAAGGCTTTTGAGGCGCGTCGACACTTGTCCTGCCACTGACCAGTCCTATGTACCTTTTGAGGCGGCGGCACCAGCAACCGGCGCTGCGGATGCAGCAGCTGCAGCAGTAGCCGCAGCATCATCGTCAATCTGAGAGAACGGTTTTCGTGCCTTCCGCCTGTGGAAGAAGAGCAGAGGCAGCAGCAGCAGCAGCAGCAGCGAGCACGGAAACACCCGCCACGGCAATTCCCGCAATGGCCCCCACTGATAGCCCCGAGGAGGAAGGGGAGGGAGGAAGGGGTGCTGCTGAACTGCTGGGAGCGGGTGATGGGGAGACCGTCGGAGGGCGAATGACTGCTGGCGATGGTGATGGAGATGGTAACAAATCAACCACGTAGCCAGGAGGAGGAAGGTGTTGGGGGGGAAGAGGGGGGAAGATAGAAGGTGGTGGGGAAGCAAAAGGGGGGAAAAGGGAGGAAGTTGTGTGGGTTTTAAAGGAGGAACATGCGGTGAGTGTGAGATGGAGGATGTGGGCAGGAGAGATGCATGTGTTGTTGGCAGGGAGGGAAAGGGGAGGAGGAATACGGTGGCAAGAAGCTTCTTTGAGGCGCCTTAAAAAGCCTCCCATCACTTGAATTTCCATCACACGGTGGAAAGGGGAGCTGAGAAGCTGAGCGCTGGTGCAAAGAGAAGGGGCGAGAGACATGTGCGCAGACAGGAGATGGAAAGTGGGAGATGGGAGATGGAACATTTGTGCATAACCCTGTTTTAGCGAGTCCGCATGGCTCACTCACTTATTTGACCCAAAATTGCACACAAACTAGTGCACGCGGCACACTCACTTAGCAAGCTGCAGTTGACGCAGAAGTCAGCGCACTCGAAGCAGTATTTCACTGCGATGTTGTTGCTCGTCAATGCTGCACACTGCCTCCAGTTACTCGGCGGGCATGTCACCATCCCTGGGGGGTCTTGTGTGTAGTCACTGAGGAGGGAGGGGGAAAAGGAGAGGAAGGGGAGAGAGCGAAGGGGTGAAAGGAAGAGGGGAAAGGAAAGATGTCAATCAAAATCATGGTTAGGAACTCTAAAAAGGTGAGACGGAAGAGGGTAAAGGAGAGGTGTCAAGAGGAATTGGCGACAAACTAATACGGCCCAGAATCATGAAAAACTGGCATACGCAAGAGGGGAAGGGAAGAGAACTTTAATATGTGTGGGTTGAGGTTTTGAGGTGGGGGAATTGTATGTGTGGGTTTTACGTGTGACCTTTTGATACGCCTTAGTTGAGAGTGAATAAGTAAAGCGCATTGTGCATGGTGCACTGTGCATGTTGCGTGGTGAGTGGTGCTTGGTGCGTACAGGTAGTCGAGTGTGGTAAGGCTGATCATGGAGGCAGGTAGGTAGCCGGTGAACTTGTTGTGTGACACATTGCTGCCATGGCCCGTGCCGCATGCCAGGTAGACACAGAGCGGGCGAGCAAGTGGCACCAGCAGCCGCAGCATTGCCAGCATCATTGGGGCAGTGGAGGAGATGATGAGTGGGCGGTGTTACAGGCAAAGCAGGAGATGACGACAAGGACGACGATGACGATGACGATGACGACGACGACGACGATGATGATGATGATGATGACGATGACGATGACGACGACGACGACGACGACGACGACGACGACGACGACGACGACGACGACGACGACGACGACGACGACGACGACGACGACGACGACGACGACGACGACGATGAGAAGGGATGGAAGAAGAGTCGGGTGAGATGGGAAGGAGAGCAAGAGCAATGGCGCAGAGAGTGTAAAAGGCAAGCAGACAAGCAAGCATGCAGGAAAAATGGCAGTGTGGACAAGGAGGGGATAGAAGGGGCAAGCATATACGCATTAGGTGTAAGTTCAACAGGTGCATGCAAAGAGGAGAGTGCATGCATAGTGGGGAGAGCATGCATAGGGGGAGAATCTTAAGAGCTGGGCGAAGGGGTGGGGTGTGGCAGCTCTGACAAGGTGGTGAGGTTGACGAGGTTGCCTATGGTCGTTGGAATGGCTCCCGTCAACTTGTTGCTTGATATGTCGCTGCCATTGCACCGCATGACACATTGCCCACGCCCCATGCCCCGTGCCCCCTATGGCCCAAACCCCACACCCCATGCCTCAATCCCCATGCTCCATGCCCCATACCCCATGCCATGCAAAGAGCCAAGCCAGTTGTGCAAGAACAAGTGGCAAACGGGCATGTCAGGGGCAATGAGGGAGAGAGTGGCAGCATGGCATGCGCTCAAAAGGTGTTGAAGGGCTAATGGTGGCGAGGGGTGTATGCATGCAACCCCACCAGGGGTGTAAATGATGGTGGGTGACAGAGCCTTGAGCACACGCATGGCTATGGCACACACAATTGACATGTGCATGGCAGGTATGTGCATGGCAGGTATGTGCATGGCAAGTATGAGCATATGCACAGCCCGACTGACAAGTGGCTGAGTGACTGCAGCAGTCCAATGTCAGAGGGAATGGACCCCGTGAACTGGTTGTACTGGATGGCTCTGTGGAGGAATGGGGTGCACGCACAGGCATTGAGGGAGAGAAGTGGAGCGCGAAGAGGGATGTGGGACCAACACCTGATGCTCGCTCTTGTAGCTTCTGCTCTTTCAATAAGAGGCAGACCGACAGACAGAGCATGACACAGCGAGACACAGAAAGGTACAGCGGGATACATGAGTGGCAGCATGGGTGGTAGCATGACTCACATCTCCTGCAGGACAGTACATCTGGAGACAACATCCAGAGACCCATTCAGCTGATTATTCCAGATGTAACTGCATGTGATGAGCGAGTGAGTGAGTGAGACCGCAGTCAGGCGATTAGGTGTTGGGGCGAGGGGAAGAGAAGGTGGGGAAGGGCGGGGAGGGGTTGGAAGGATGGGAAAGTATAAAGGGGCGAGGGAGTGTTAGGGAAATAGACAAGAGGCAACGCAAAGAGTCTCATTACCCTGTTGCTGTATAGAGAGTGATGGCAAGAGATGAGAAGAGACGAGAAGCAAAAGAGGATGGGGGAGAGGCAGACAGGGGAGGAGCACAGTAGGGCGGAGCAAAGGGATGGGAGAAGCAGACAGGGGAGGGGTAGAGAGGGGAGGAGCAGAGGGACGAGGAGCAGAGGGAGGAGGAGTAGAGGGGGGAGCGGAGGGAAGAGGGGCAAAGGGAGGAGGAGCAGAGGGAAGAGGAGCAGAGGGAGGAGGAGCAGAGGGAAGAGGAGCAGAGGGAGGAGGAGCGGAGGGAGGAGGAGCAGAGGGAGGAGGAGCGGAGGGAGGAGGAGCAGAGGGAGGAGGGGCAACGCACAGGTAGTGCAGGTTGACGAGGTTGGAGAAGGAAGCAGGGATGGAGCCGGTGAGGTTGTTGCCTCCCAGCTGACTGATGCTCGTGGCGGGGAGCGAGTAGTGCGGAAAGAGTGTAGGATTTGAGAGGTGAGAGGGGAGGAGAGATGGAGGCGCGGAGAAGAATATGGAGTGAAGAGAGGTGTAAGCTGTTAAGGCAAGTCAGGATAGACTTGCTCTGCACGTTTGACTGAGGAAATAATCCCGAGAAGTACAAAATTGGGAAAGGAATGCAAGCAGGAGAGGGAGGAAAGATCGGAGTGACGAGAAGAGGGAAGAAATAATGGGCAACAACTGCATAAATATTGGCTTTTCTGGCGCTCCTGGCATACACGACGGAGATTGTTTTTTGTGGCGACCTAGACCGAGGCGACTTCAAGTTGATCAACAGTCACCTTCGACGCTGCTAGCTAGCGACGCTGCTTGTATCACCTGAAATGCATCAAAACTGATGCACCTTCCACCGCTGCTAGCTTACATGGTGGTGATATGGTCAAGGCTACCGAGAGTGGCAGGGATGCTGCCTTGGAGGGCGTTCTCCCGCGCATTCCTGGTGGGGCCATGGGTGGGGTGATGAGTGGGGCAAAACAAGGGAATGGTGGGACACTGAGTTAAGATTGGGGCTGAGTGCTGAGTTTCCTGCGTCCGTTCTGTGTGAGATGTGATGCGTTGTGTGTTGCGAGATTCGAGTCTTATGCAGTGAGATGGGTGTAACAGCTGGGGGTGGATGTGCATACCATTCATGCTGTGCTGTGCGTGTGCTGTGCGTGTGCTGTGCGTGTGCTGTGCGTGTGCTGTGTGTGTGCTGTGTGGGTCCATGTGAGTTCACGTGGCTGCTCGTGGGTGGACACACACGAGGAGGCGCAACGAGAGAGAAGTGTGGAACAAGCGCAGGGAAGAAGGAGATGTGGTTTATGGAAGAAGCGACTGGGCGAGAGGGGCAGGGTGAGAGGGACAGGGCAAGAGGGACAGGGCGAGAGGGAGACTGCTAGTGTGCATCCATGCATGCATCCTGCCCTCCTTGAACCCATGCATGCATGCGACTGACAGCTGCCAATGTGGTGGCGGTGGTGGTGGTTGGTGGTGGGGTGGGGAGGGGAGAGAGGGGGCCGGGCGGGGGCCAAGCGCGAGGAGATGGGCAGAGAGGTGGGAGTGCGGGGGTGGAGACATAAGGGTGGTGGGAGTGTGAGAGGGGTGGTGGCTAGTAGTGTGGCAGCAAGAGAGATGGAGATGGCATAAGGGGGGTGTGGATGGGAGGATGGACTTGTAGCAAGAGTGAGAAGGCTGGCAGAATTATGGAGAGGGGCAGATGACTGGAGCTGGACCGAGCACATGCACACAATAGGGGCCACCTAGAAAGCTGGAAATGGTCAAGCACAATCAAATGCAGTCAAGCACATTGCATTCAATGAAGCCAAGCAAGCCGGTGAAGCAGGGGTGTACAGGAGAGTGAGCAGGGAGAGCTTTCCAATGGAGGTAGGCAAACCTCCTGAGAATTTGTTGTCCGAGATATCACTGAGAGCACAAGGGAGAGAGCATGGGTGGGGTGAGTAGATTCTTGAACCTATGCTGGCCTGTGGAATGGTGCTTGCATACCTTGAAGGGTAGGCAATAGAGACTGGTGTGTTGTGTTCCAGTGGGGTGGCTCACAAGCGGTCCAGTGAGACAAGGTTGCTAATGGTGTTTGGAACGGAACCACGCAGAAGGTTGGACGTGAGTTCCCTGTTGGGATGCATACAATCTCCGGCATCCACATGCACACGCACAAACACGTATTCATACACACCTCATGCAGATGTTGCCATGCACATGAATGCAGTGACCATGGCAGCACAGCACAGAACCTATGAATGATCTCTTAAGAATTTTCAGAAGCGACTCAAATATAGCCGGCATGGAGCGACAAGCGCATTCACGGGATTAAGGCGTGTGGCAGCTCCCACGGATGATGGCAGGAACCCTGTGAGCAACTGGTCTGCGAGGAACCTGCAGAGACGGGGGTGTGGAAGGGAGGGATGGAGCGCGACGAGAGGGGGAGGCGATGCATGTATCGAAACAAGTGCACCCTGTGAGCGATTGGAATATCTGCGATCTCTGGCGGCCGTGCGAGTGTGGATGTGCGGAGCGGGGATCGAGAGAGGAGGAAGGAGGGATCAAGAGGGGAGGTAGGGGATAGAAGAAGGCGAAGGTTAAGGGTTTAGGAGAGGCGAATGACAGGGCGCAGGCGAGAAGGAATGCTGAAGGTTGGATACTACCATGCGTTCCCATGATGTTTCCCACATGCTGATGGTGAGCATGCCATGCCATGCCGTCGCTAGCATGCAGTTGTGCATGCCATGCCATGCCGTCGCTAGCATGCAGTTGTGCATGCCATGTCATGCCACGTGCTCAAATGCTGGTGTGCATTCTATGCATGCCATGCCATGCCACACCGAGCCATGAGCGCACATGGTGGTGAGCATGCCGTCCTGGTCGCATGTGACGAACACGGCGTCGCTGCAGTTGGAGGTCGAATCCCATCCGCTCAGACTGCGCTTCCATGCCGCCTGGCACTCCGTTAAGAACGTCACTGCCGGGGAGAGCAGGGGGAGGGGGATGCGGGGGAAGGGGACGCGGGGCGGGGGTGGAGGAGGGGGCGGGAGGAAAAAGGGGAGAACGGGAATGAATGGTGGAATTTGAAGTTTGGAGGGACAGCAAGAACGGTAGATTTCGTTCAACAGACCGTTAACTGCCGGTCACAGTCTGGTACCAGTATAACGCCTTGCGACTTGACCCAGAATTACGTGCGCTACTAGAGGTGGCGGCGAGGAGCGCACACACTCGGGTGCTAGATCAGAGGTGATTATTGAGTGAAACAGCACCCGCACTCACGCTGCAAGTTGGTCCAGGTTTGCAGGCGTGCTTTGTGGTCGGGAGGGAGGGTGTAACGCTTGTGGGCTAGTATTAAGGGCAATCCGCTGCGCCACACACTCGTTTTGGCCCAGTGGGTAGCGAGGTGTTATACTGGAATCAGAGCCTAGGGTTCAAATCCTGGCTGACCCACATTTTCCGCCTGTGGCGAGAACTTGAATGTGGTAACCGGATTGAACCCAGCGAACGACCCTCCGCTGGCCTGGTCCACCAGCGAAGTCGCTGCTTGGGGCACAGCAAATAGGTCCCTGCGGGGGCCGACTCCCTGAAGTTCGTCAACGAGGACGTTGACACCAGGGGGGGACGAGTGTAACGCCTGTGGGCTAGTGGGCAATCCGCTGCGCCAAATAACACCCTCGTTTTGACCCAGTGGGTAGCGAGGTGTTATAGAGGGCAAGCATGCTAATGACAAAACCAGGCTCCGACAATAGAGGCGGCTCAAGAGTCACTCACGCTGCGACTTGGCCCAGAGCTGAGCGCGCGCGAGTGGCGGGGAGCGCACACATGCGGGTGACAGAACCAGCGCGGCGACGACGGCGGAGAGCAGGCGGAGATGGCTAAGCGGAACCATCCGCTGGCGCGGCATGGTCGGCGGCCCTAGGGCGCGGCTCGGATGCTCGGATAACGCTGCTCGGCGCGCAGTGCGTACACTTGGGCGCTAGTAGCGCGGGAGGCTAGACGGAAGTGAGTCCGTGAGTCTGTTCGTCCGCGTGCAGGAGCACACACACTGTGGTCTGTCAGGTCAACCAGGAATTTTAGCGGCTGGGGTAACGAAAGTCATTGCTTGCTTCTACTGGAAACGGATGTAGTCGTCGTGTGCCACACAGTGGTGTCGAGAATGTCTTTGCAGGCAAGGGATTTGCGACTTTTTCGACACCAACACTGCGGTTCACGCCACTTCGTGTTTTGCGGCGTATTTGTCTCGAATGCGTCACACATACGATTGGAGAAAACAAACGGGGTTTCGGGATGGCCCAAGAATGGCACGTAGATTCCTAGAGCTAGGCTCTGGCCACCATTCCTCTGCTGACCTGGCAAGAACGCTGAGTACAGACTGCTTTTTCACCAGATGTGTACACCTTGTTCTCGATAATTGCACACCCCCTACTCCTTTTTTTCCTGGGTACCCTTCTAGATCTTTGACTGGATGCGACGGACACCCAGAAATTGAGGAGCTATTAGTAAACAACGAAATTGACGGAATCCTAGAAAGAAACTCGCACTTAATGGTTGTGTTCAGGCCTATAGTTCGCGAGTACGTCGGATCCTCCTCCGTGGTTTTCAACTTCTGTTGCAAACTACCCTACGAAAATGATAGACATAGGGTAAATACCCCAGGGTGTGCAATTAACCCCTGTGAAATAATCGAGAACAGGATGTACGGTGACAAGCAAGATCGATTGCCTGCTCAACGCGGCAAGATTGTCCCAAGATTACCCGTCAGTTTGCGGCTTAATGGGTCTTGGTACATGAACGCGAATTTGCCTTGCGCCTGATGGATACGCTGCACCCGAGGTTGTTTCCCCAGCCTCATGCACCTACATTACAAGCGCGTCGCGTGGTTATCAACCAATAGTAACGAACAGACCGAAGTCAAACTAGGTACAGACCGAAGTCAAGCAGAAGAGACTGAAGTCAAACTAGGTAACAGATCTTGTTTATAAGCACATGCGAATCCTTTTTAGCTAGCTGCGAATTGACGAAAACTATGCGAAATGCTAGTGACAGCTTATACGCCCCCTTCATAAGGCAACCGGGAGGGGCTCAAACAGGCATCAGCTGTACAGATTTCTGAAGCTCACCCTTTCCTGCCTGTGTGCACAACTTGACATGCCAGCGTCGATACCTGTCGCGTGCGTTGACTTGGAAGAAGCTCCCCCCAGACTAGTCGTCTTGTTATAGAAACATGTAACAAAACGCCTAAGAAATCTGCTATGAAAAAATGCAGGTCAAAACCTCTATTTGATGTAAACACCACATTGTGGCTGTGCATAAACCATGGCTCAAGGTAAACAATCGTAATAAAGGGGGGCTGCATGAAATAGCAAATGCTTACCGGCATGATTAGCCAACTAGGCTAACTGACAGATGAATCATGGAAGATGACAAACTGTAAGCAAAGTAAAATGAAGGCACATACACGCTAATCAGTTTTGAATGAATCGAAAACACCTCTGGAATGACAAGTTGACACCGTTCATTTGTAAACTCTGGTAAGCTAAATCTGAATCACTGGTGAATAAGCTGAACGGATTACTTGGCCGTTGACAGCAGTCTTTGTTTTCGAAGCTTCCTGCCAGCACAAATCATCACCCCATCAAACAATTTACCCCCTCCCACACCACATTTACCAGCAACATACATTGCACGGGAAAAGAAAGGGAAGGCCAGGCCATATAAGCCGAAAAAAATTGCAGCCAAGCAGGGCAAGCCAAGAAACTGGACAATTCAAACGGCGAGAGTTATATCGATGCACTCACCACGAAAGTGGCACAGATGGGTTTGCCACCAAAATAACGGTTGTGCAGTGCCGTGCGCGCTGCCGATGCTGCTGCCACTGTCTCAAACTGCACGTACACATGACCCTCACTGGCCCTGTAGGAATTCACGTAATAGCACAGCAGCATAAATGCCGGGAAGAGGGATTACATGATGGAAGGGAACCAGAGGGAGAACGCCATAGAGCACGCGCAAGATAACAGAGGGTTTTAACCAGCCAAAGCGGCCAAGAGGAGGATGTTGGTGCCCTCTAACTCAAAGAAGGGGCAGAAGCACCCCTCAATCTCTTATTTAGTAATACCAGAGTAGTACCAGCTGTGCGCTCTTGTTATGAGGGCGCCTCTGCATGCATCACAGGTGGCACACATAGCAAAGCATAAGCCACTTGAACCGCCTAAGAAAAAGGGAGCAGGAGTAAAGACGCTGCTGTGTGGCACGCACCCGAAATACACCTTAAAAGAGCCTTCGCAACAAGCTGTGCAATAAGGCCTCTTATAATTCTACAAGAACCAGCCATCTGCAGCAGCCTCAGGAAATCAACCGGTTCATCAATAAATGAGAAGGATAGGTGTATGTCCAGCTTGGATCTGATGCAGCAGAGAGGAAAAGTCGCATAAAGATTACAGAACAAGGGGTGAAAGCATCGAGAAGTGCTTGAACCAGCAACTGCACTACGAGCAGCATTGGTGCTGTGTTGGCATACCCTTGGGAGGAGCACAACTTTGTGAATACCAACCAGGAACCACACGAGCTCTCTTTCTCTCCTCTTGACACACACCAGCACACACAGGGCCTGCGGCCATACGTCACGGCAGGGGTAGGTAGTGCCATGAGGTAGGCCTCCTCACCTGTCGACTCTGACTTTCTTGACCGCGCCAAACTTGGAGCACTCTTCGAAGACGTCATCCTGCACGTCCTGCTCAAACTCATCGTCCACCTGCACGGGAGGATGGCGAGATGGAATTGGATAAGGGAGGGGGCAGGTGAGAGGCGGCAGACCAAAGAGTGATAATACGTAACTTTGAAAAGCACGGTGCACAGTGTTCCATCCTGTGCTTCTCGTGATAGCTTGCAAAAACAAGCGGGGCTTGTAGGTAGGGCAAAAGCCCGGACGAAAACAAGGAGCAACCGAACACAACAAACACAGCATGCTAGTACCCAGCAAATGGCGCACCCAGCCCATGGCGCACCCAGCCCATGACGCACCTTCTCTGAAGAGTCAAACATGTTAGTCAACAGGATAAACTCGCTGGGCGTTCCAATCTCCACTGCAGGTGCTGGTGCTGCTGCAGCAGCAGCGACTGGCACTGTCGGCAGCATGCCAGGGCGCAGAGCCATTGCTGCGAGAGGGTTGGCAGCAAGAACGCCTGCTCCAGGCACCACTGCTGCAGCGGCAGCAGCACTGCACGAAAGGTTAAAAGAAGCACAAACTGGCAGGTTAGAATCCAAGGAGAAAGAAGAGAGATCATGAAACAAGAGAGCCCGTGAGGTGCTTCATTAAAACACGAGGTTCATTTGAGTGCTTTGAAAGTGTGAAATGGAATTGAGAGAACGGAGTAGGGAGATTACCTGGTCCCTGTGCGGTCTAGCTTGAGCATGAGAGCTGCTCTGGTCTGTGCATCAAGTGCCTGTGAAGGCAGGAGAGCATATCAAGACAAGGGCAAGGAATCGTGTGAGATTGAGACAGCACAATAAAACAACTGCATGGGCAACTGGGAGATACGAACAGTTGAGTACGAGGAGGATCATATACTAATGAAGACCGAGAAAACTGACTGAGTGCAAGGCAAAAATGTCACCATTCTTCCTGCACCAATGCCACAAGCCACACTCACCAGACCGCCTCGTTCGTCGATGAGCTCCCCTGGCGCCACTGGTTCCATCACCTCTGGTACAGGCGTGATCTGCACGGCGCACGTGGGGCACGCAGGGCCGGGATAGGTTAAAGGAGGAAACGAAGCTTCTTAAAATAAACTTCTGGCCGTAGGGTGTAACGCCCACGCTCAGGGCGTGCCACGTGTACCCTCTTTCTTGAGATGGAACAAAACAAAAGTTGAGACGAGGGGTTGAACCCACACCCTCCACTACCAGCACAGCTACCATAATAGCACACCACGTTCACGTGAGGGGGAACCAGGCGCACCTTGATTGCGAGGCCTGCGAGCTCAAGCCCTTCCAGGTTCTGGTGCGCCATGCGCGCATCCTCCAGGCGTGCGTACTGCACAGAGCGCACACACACACACACACACACACATAACAGAACGATGCGAGTTGAGTTGACAGGGGTAACACGAGATTACGCATTTGACGATAACGGAATTCGGGGACCTTATGAATCTCGTATTTGCAACGTCAGCCTGCTTCCCACCACCGCATCCCGTTCCCAGTCAATCCACGTCCATCCTTGCCAGACACTTTGCCCCTTACTCTGCCGCCCACCTGCACGAAGCCGAATCCCTTGCACTGGGCCGAGCCTGGCTCCATGGGCACCTCAACCGACTCCAACTCTCCAAACGGCTCAAACACCTGCGGACAGGGGATGCACGCAGTCCAGAAAAGGGGAAAGGAAGTGGGGAAGGTGGGCAAGACATACAAAAACCGGCTAAATGCAAAACTGTGTGTGCAAAGAGAAGGGAGCAGATATGAAAGAAAGTCTTCGTTCTCCTCTGTGATTTCCACTGTATCTAACCACTGTTGGTTCTATTCCCCGTCGACCCCACCCTGTATCGACAACAACCCCCAGTTTTACCACCCTTGACGCGCTCACCTGTCGCAATTGCCCCTCATTCATGTTCACGTGCAGGTTCCCCACATGCAGCCGCTTCGACCCGGTCGCCAGCAACCCCGCTCCCCCGGCGGCAGCGGCGCTCGCCGCGCTCTGCGCCGCAGCGAGGTTCTTCTCCGCCTCAGACGGCTTCACCATGACGGGCGTCCCCAGCAGCAGCTGCCCGGAGAGCGCGAGCGCCATGGGCACGGCCATGGGGTCGTAGAACTCGATGTAGCCCACGCCCTTGGAGCGACGCGAGTAGCGGTCCATGATGAGGCGCACGTCGCGCACCTTGCCCGCCTGCGAGAAGAACTCGTACACGTCGCGCTCGTCCGCCTTGAGGTTGATCTGCGGAGAAACGCGACGAGGTATCGTTGGCGAAGAGATGCGAGGAGAGATGAACGAGAAAGCGGGTTACAGGACCTATTCCACTTGGGGAAGAACCCTGCGGCGCTTGAGACGCCTGTGCGCAACTCTGCAGTGCTCGAGGAGTAGTTACCTGGGTTGCTAACGAACACAGCATGGCTTGGGGTACCTGATAAGCAAGCAGTGTGTGGGCAGAGCACCTGATAGGCGAAGACAGTGCGAAGGTCTCTCTCCAGATCAGGCTCGACCTCCGCCTCCTTCTCACGCCTCTCCCGCCGCTCACGGGAGCTGCGAGCACGGGAGGAGAAAGAAAGAAGGCGCAGAAGGCAACAATGGAAACGGCGAATGAGCTGATGGCAAAGGACGGCGACGACAAAAGAACTACAGGCAGCAGCACTGACGGTGAGCCCAGCTCGGACAGCGAATCAAGCGTCACGAAAACCATGTGCTTCTTGTTTCCAAAAGTGCCTCCGCACAGATCAGTGAATAAGTATGCGATACGAAGCAGAGGCGGTAATATACCTCCGTCGGTCGTAGTAATCCCGGTCACGATCGCGGCGCCGGTCCCTGTCATAGTCTCGCCTCCAGTCACGATCCCTTCCACGGCTGCTGTAGTAGTAATCGCGGTCTCGCTCACTGTCCCTGCTCCGATAGTAGCGGTCCCGATACCGATCTACGTCGCGGTCGTCATCCCTCTCTCGATCGCGCTCCCGGCTTCTGTGGCTTCTGTCTCTGTCGCGACTATGCGATCTCGGCTCCTCGTAGCGTCGCACGCGCTTGATGCGATCGCCCTCCTCCTCGTCGCCGACGTCGCCGTTCTCCTCGTCGCCATACGGGCCGTCGTCGTCGCCGTAGCCATCGTCGCCATCGTCATAGTTCGTGGACCGTCTCTTCGAACCCGTGCGACGTCGTTGGTAAGGGTCGTCGTCGAACTCCGACGACCGTCGCACAGAACCACCGCCGTTCATGTCGCGGCCAGTGGGAGAGGCGTACGCGTCCTCGCCTGCTGCTGCGCGTTCCACAGTCTTCTCGAGATAATCGTACTCGTCGAACTCCCCCATATCCAAACCACGTCACGAGGAGCCAGGCGTTTCGTGGCTGTTGCCGCGTCGCGCAAACTCGAAAGAAAGCCCTTCAGTGTGTCTGTTTTGCGGTCATAAAACAACTGACTTCGGTTTGACAGTCGACCTTTAAACAAAGATTGTCCCTACGGTTGCCACTTCGCAGTTCCGTGATATGCCTCGCTCTGTGTTGCTTCCTGGTGAAACTGAAACCGAGGTGGCCAGTGTGAAAAGGCTGCCTGCCAGCCAGAAAGAATTTGCCAGCTCGAATAAACTCAGCAGGTCCTAGGGAACTTCATGCCGCAACTCTCATCTGACTCTGTCTTTGTACGGTTCATCCTGCTTTGTAGCGGTCAAAAACGGTGAAAAAGACAACCGCATTGGACCGTGAACAAACGTGTTGAACCGCGCTTCCCGAACCCCAAAACAAATCTGGCTTGCCCTGGTAATTCCAATGGCAGGGAAGCGAACCCACGCCAGCGTCGGACACGACAACTGATGATTCCGATGGCACTGCACGCACGCGCCCAAATCATCCCAAAGCGACGGGCCGCCAGAAACACACATCCACCTCAAATTGACGGATGGGAACAATTCGCTTCAAGCGTCAAATCAAACGATTCAAGAAGGTTCCAGCGCGTCCGCGCTAGGAGCACTTCCAACACCACGCTTCTGTAAGCCGTTATAAGCTATTGTATTGTAGATACCACTACCGTACTTCACATTCAGAAAGTCCACTATTGGTTGATTGGGACAGTGTGCTACGGAGATTGAAATGCATAACTGCAGCCTAAGATCGCAACAATCACAACTGGAGTCAGGCATCACAGGGTACAAAACAACGCAGCACAGCTGGTAATGCATGTGCTCCTCCTACAAAGATAAAGCGAATGTGCGACGACAAGATACTCTCATGAGGCTCTCAATCCACGGCACAATTGTATTGGCATGCAATACCTTGCCGCTGCAACCAACATCTGCAGCCACAGCAGCAGCAGCAGCAGCAGCAGCAGCAGCAGCAGCAGCAGCAGCAGCAGCAGCAGCAGCAGCAGCAGCAGCAGCAGCAGCAGCAGCAGCAGCAGCAGCAGCAGCAGCAGCAGCAGCAGCAGCAGCAGCAGCAGCAGCAGCAGCAGCAGCAGCAGCAGCAGCAGCAGCAGCAGCAGCAGCAGCAGCAGCAGCAGCAGCAGCAGCAGCAGCAGCAGCAGCAGCAGCAGCAGCAGCAGCAGCAGCAGCAGCAGCAGCAGCAGCAGCAGCAGCAGCAGCAGCAGCAGCAGCAGCAGCATCAGCAGCTACGACGCCTTACCCACTGCTACTGCCGGCATGACCAGTGCTGGTGTTGCCCGCAGGCGCAGCCGCTGCCGCTGCCACCGCCGCAGCAGCAGCAGAGGCCCTGGTGCTCACAGTCCTGGGTGGGACCCCTTGCACCCTGAGCCTGCTAGCAGTGGCAAGAATGGGGGGGTTGGGCGTGATGGCACGAGCTGAGGACAAACCTGATGCCCTGACTGCACGCGTGGGCGCACGTGACGGCAGTGCAGGGAGAGACTGAGGAGATGCAGTGACTGCGGCTGCGCCTGGTTCAGCAGCTGCAGCTGCACCTGCTGCAGCAGCACGTGGTGCAAGCCGGAGCACACGCGACGTCCAGGAAACACTGAGAGCACCACCACCACCAGCTTCAGCAGCAGCAACAGTGGCAGCGCCAGCTGCAGCGGAAGGAGCAAGGGTAGGAGATGCAGCATTAGCAGCAGGGAGAGCAACGCCCGAAGCAGCACCACTGGCGTTGGTACTACGACCATCACGGTCAACTTCTTCCACATCACTATCCTCAACCTCCTCCTCTTCCTCCACCACCTCCACCTCATCGTCGCGCCGTGCTGCCGTCCCACCTTCGGCCTCACTACGATCCCCACCATGCAGCATGCTCCGGAACTGCTGAGGCCTCCCCAACCTTCCTCTCCCTCCTCCACCTACTCCCACTCCTCCCCCACTTGCTCCTGACCCTGCTCCCACTAGTCCTGCTGCTCCTCCTGCTGTACCTCCCGCTGCCTCTCCCCACCGGGCCCGGTCAGCCTGTATCATAGCCTCCACCGCCCTCTCCCTCTCTCGCCTTGCTCGATCCAAAGCCAAGTTCAGGGCACGCCCCACCAAGCCACCAGCATCAGCAGCATCAGCACCTTCAGTAGCAGCAGCAGAAGCAGCAGGTGCGCCACCAGCAGCACTGCCAGCGGCGTCAATAGCAGCAAAGGCAGCCATGGCAGAGGAAGCACCCGTGCCAGCTGTCCTCTCAACAGGCTGTAAGTCCCCCCACCTACCACGCCTATTGCTGCCACCGCTGCCGCCGCCAGCACCGGTGCTGCTGCTGTTGCGTGCTGCCAACCAGCTTGGCCCTCCCATCCGGCCCCCCACGTAGCTCCAAGGCAGCACTGGAGGCATGCCCGCGTCCAGACCTGCACCTTGTGCAGTATCCGAACCAGCACCCGAGCCAGCAACTGCGTCATTGCCGCCAACAGCAGCAGTAGTGCCAACACTGCCACTGCCACCGCCAGCAGCAGCAGCAGCAGCAGCACGGTGCTGATCGTGTGGAGGCAGTGAGGCCTCGGCGGAAGGGCACTCGCGATCCACCACCACCCAGAGCACGTGCACCAGCACCACCAGCACTGACACCACCAGCACTGACACCACCAGCACCAGCGCCACCAGCACCACCAGCACTTGCTGCTGCAGGTACAAACGCACTGCCCCGCATGAGCCGTGCGTCCAGCTCATCCATAATCTGCCTGATTTCCGCCGTATGGGCCTGCGTCCTCCCTTCACCCCCACGCCCTTCCTCACCTCGTCCCTCGTCCCCTCTCTCCCTCTCCCTCCTCCCACCCTCAGCAGCTTCTCCACTTGCATCCTCCTCACCCGCCGCCTCTCCCCTTCCACGCCTCGCCTCCCCTCCCTCCGCTCCCTCCGCCTCCCTCTCTCTGCCTCCCCTGCGCGGGGCAGGGAGCGTGCTGAGGAGGCTGCGCCGGGTGTGGGCGGGCAGGGCGGGAGGAGCAGGAGGAGGAGCAGCAGCAGCAGCAGCAGCGGCGGCAGCAGCGGCAGGGGCAGGGCGCCTGCGGGCAAAGATGGGCGCGGAGGAGAAGAGAGGAGGGTTCCAGACAGAGGAGCCACTGCCTGCAGAGAGCAGCAGCATGGCTGTCCACAGACTCCCATTGTCCCCCGGAAAATCCATATCCTCGTCCTCCTCCTCTTCCCCTTCCTCCTCCTCAGCCGCCGCCTCTTCCTCGTCTCGTTCCTCCTCTGCTTCATCCTCCTCCTCCCCCTCCTCTGCTTCAGCCCTCGCTGCAGCTCTTGCTCTCGCAGCTGCTCTTGCTGCTGCTGCTGCTCGAATCCCCCTCCTCTCCACACCCTCTTCCCCTTCCTCCTCACCCTCCTCGGCTTCCTCTCCCCATCCGCCACCGTCTATCTCCCATCCTGCGTCCCCTCCCCACCCTCGCCTCCCTGCTAACCGCGCCCTCCGCCTCCTCTCCCTCGCCCTAGCCTCCGCCACAGCATTCCGCCCCTCCTCCTCCCCCTCTCCTCCCCCCCATGCCCCGCCACTGCTAAACCGCAACCGCCCAAACCCGCCCCTCTCCCCCGTTCGCCCACCCCCCAACCCACCCGCACCTAAACCCTCCCTCGCCCGCCCAAACCCAAACAGCCGCGCCGCAGCCCTCCTCCCCGCCGCCCCCATCGCCCCTCCCCCCTCCATCCCCCCCAGCCCCCCCACCCCAAACGGATCCCCCAATCCCCCCGCATTAAACCCCGCCAACGTTCCCCCCATCCCCCTGAACCCCTGCCTTCCCGCGCCCCCCCTGCCGCCCGCGCCTCCCCAGAACCTGCCTCCGCCATACAACCCCCCCGCGCCAAAGCGCGCCCCGTCAAGACCCCCCAGCCCGCCAAACCCGCCCAGCAAATCGTCCTCATCGTCACTATCTCCGCCTATCACATAGTCGCCTATTATAGTAGCTCCTGGCATGGCGGCGCGGATGCTGCTCACCACGTCCCCGACGTCCTGCTGGCTCTGCAGCCTCCGCCACTGGCGCACGCGCGCGGGGTCCGCCTCCGCGGGCGGGCGCGCCTGCGCGTGCGCGGAGCGCGCGTGCGCGCGGAGGGCGGGGTACGCGCCCGCGAACGCGCAGTTCTCGTGCGCGCAGGCGCGCGGAACGGCGTTGAGCAGCACGCGCACGTCCTTATGCACGAACCACCCCAGCACGGGGCAGCGGCACATGGGGCAGCGCAGGGACGCGGACTCCGCGGGGGGCACGCGGGAGAAGCACAGCCCGTGCAGCTCCCCGCCCGTGAAACACGCTGTGGTGTCATGCGCGCCGTGGCAGCGCCCGCGCTTCCTCCGCTTCCCTGCCTTCCCAGCCTTCCCCGCCATACCCTGCTGCGCGTCATGGGAACCGTGCGCCAGGTGACTAAGCGGAGTATGATGAGTATGGTTGCAAATCACGCTCGTCTCGCTCCTCCTCGCCTTGCCAATACCCTCCTTCGCCGTTCCCTTCCCCGCTCTCGCGGCTTCCGCCTCATCCCCACCTTTTCCTTCTCCTGCGCCCTCCACCATGCTCTCAGCTGTCTCGCCCGCCGTCATCAGCAGCAGTTGCCCCCGTCCGAGCGCCCGAAGGAACGGCCGACTCACACCGCGAAGCCCGCCGTCGTCCGCGCGACGCCGAGCCGCTTTCCCCCTCCGCTTCGACCCCCTAGACCTGCCACCCGCAGCGCCCTCGCTAACTACCCGCTTGCCCTTGTCTTCCGCACTAAACCTCACTTCCCGCACGCCCGCCACCCCCTCTTCCGCCTTCCCTGTCGGCGCGTTCTCCTCCGCCGCCCCTTCCGCTTCCGCCCCTCGCTGATCCGCGCGCGTCGTGTCGTCCGAGCGGCACAGGCGCCGCCGTTGGCGGCGATGGCGGTGCCGCCTGTCACTGCGACCAATACAACGACAGCCGTCATCCCCACCCCTTCCGCTACCACTGACAGCACGAACAGCAGCACCATCACCAACACCAACACCAGCACCAACTGCAGCGGTGCCAGCAGCAGGAACGTCTGATCTAGCGTTTCCGGCGGCCAACGAAAGTCGTCCAGATCCCGTGCGACGCCTGGGACTGTCGCCATCCTCGTCGCCGTCGCCGTCATCGTCGTCGTCGCTGATGATGATAAGCGCGCCACTGCGACTGTGGTCTGCGACTGTCGTCCCTTCCTCCTCACTCCCCTCCTCCTCGTCGTCGCTGCTGCTGCTACCGCTGCTAAATCCCCCGTCGCTGCTACTGCTGCTCGCGCTGTCGTCGCTGCTGCCACTGCCATCACCATTGACATTCCGCCCCAGAATACTCCCGCTACTGTCGCTGCTCTCGCTACCGCTGCTGCTCCAAGTGTTGCCGTCCTCGCCGCCTCGCTCCTCCCCCTCCTCCTCGCTGTCGCTGCTGCTCAAGATGTACTCGCCGCCCGCACGCCTTCCGCCGGCGGCTTCCCCCGCAGCAGAAAGGCGGCGAGCGGACGAGAAGATGCCCCAGGACGTGGAGTTGCGCCGTCTCCCCGGCACTCCCGCACCTAGCCTCCTCCGCTCGCGGGACGACGAACGACGGGAGGAACCCACCGTTACAGTCACATTAACCCGCCACTCCGCTTCCTCGCTTCGAAAGCGATCGCCGCCACTACCGCCTCCAGCTCCCGCACTCATCCCCCTTCCGCCTTCCCCTCTCTCCCCTACTCCCCCTCCGCCGCTTCCGCCTCCGCCTTCTCCTGCCGTTCCGCGCGCTTCTCCAGGGAGTGTCGACGGTTCGGAATTGCCTGCAGCGTTGGAAGGCGCTTCAGCAGAGCCGGACGCAGTACCGATTGCGGTTGCACCAATGCCCGTCGCTGCGGCGGCACCTCGCGCAGACCCACGCATCACCGCAGCAATCCCGCTGCTTGCGCCACCGCTTGCGCCAACGCCGTCGCCAGCCCCGCCGACACCGCCAGCGGCAGCGGCGGCGGCGGCGACGGCGGTGGTGGCGGCTGCGCTGGTTCTGGCTTCGGCAGGCGCGCCTGAGAAAACAGCAGCCGCCGCAGTCGCCGCTTGCTGCGACTTGCGAAAGTGGTCGAAGCAGTTGGAGTGGCGGTGGCTGGTGTCGCACACGAACGTGCGACAGCCCTTCTCTAGCGACGCGCACACCAGCAGCACCGCGTTGTGCGGCGCCTCAAGACAGATCGGGCAGCACACGCGGTCGGTAAGCTTCTTACGCGCTAACTCCGCGCTCAGACAGATCTCCTCTTCTTCCTCCTCTTCCTGCGGACCCTCTCCCTCCTCTCCCTCCTCTCCTTCCTCTAACTCCTCTCCCTCCTCTCCCTCCTCTCCTTCCTCTACCTCCTCTCCACCATCGTCATCCTCATCATCATCAGGGCCTGCATCCGTGTTATCGCCGGCCATGGCGCCGCCAGATGCGGATGCAGATGCAGATGCAGCGCATCTGGACGATTGGCCAGTGCTCTTCCGCAATTTGCTTCCCTTCCCCTTCCGCTTCCTCTTGCATCCGCCAGCAGTTCGCGCAAGACCTCTCGCGTTTCCCCCCGCGCAGATCTGCGCCTCACCTTCCGCCACCGCTTCCGCCTCCCCCTCCGTCTCCGCGGGTTTCCTCCTTCCGCCAGCCATGTTCCGTCTCTTCACCTTTCGCCGCCGCCGACTTGCATCCTCCGCCCTTCGCGTTCTTCGCGCGCTTCCTTGCTCCCGGCCGGTGTCTCCCACTCTCGCCACCGTCCCACCGGTTCTCGCACCGGGACCGTCCAATCGGAGCCGTCGTCTGCGCTGCGAAGCGGCAGAACCGCCGGGAACGGTAGATCGGTTACCGGCAGCGGTTGTAGGGCGAGCGGAGGGTGATCTCCCCCGGCGGGATGGAGATCTCCTCCGCTTGCGCCTCGTGCTCTCGTTATCCGGTCGCGTTCGCGGCAGTGCAAGCGCCGCGGTGTCCCTCCCACCCTCCGCACCATCGGTACTTGGGTCCATCGGTAACGACGGCCCGCACCGCAGAAACGCGCTGCCTGCGGAGGCGCGCAACGCGACGTAGAGAATAAAGCCTGACAAAAAGCTCCGGCTAATTCCACACAGATGAGAGAAGGGCTGGGCTGGACAACAAAGCAGAAAATTTCACAACACACCAATCGAGATGTGTGTGAGTGAGGAGAAATGGAAAGCCAATGGATGATGAGGTCTTTTGAGCAGAATTGGGATGGGAGAATTGAGATTTGAGGAGCTAGGAGGAAGAGATTTTGCCAGACAGGGGTGCCAGGCTGCCAGGCTTCTCACTGGGGTTTGATTTGGTTTGGTTGGCTTTGCCTCGGAAACAAGCAAAGACGGGGGAATTCGCGAACTTAATTTCGCGAGAAGTCGTACCATCGCCCGAGATTAACGACAGTGACGAAGAGGTGATTGTCTTTCGCGAGGAGCTGGTAATAGTTTCTGGTCGTCACTAATGTTTTGCCGAGCCTGGTTTGTTGGTCAGGAAGGATCAGCCCGAAGCGGTGTGGAGGTTTGCAAGGAAGAGTATGGTACGTTCGGCATTGAGCCATGCCATACATGGTCATGGGGGAGGTTGGGCAAGCGAAGCGACTGGGCGAACGGTTTCACTTGGTCATCTCATGCGGGGACGGCTCGGATCGATACAGTAGTTTCATGTACCGTACACAAGTCAGTACGGTTCAGGCATAGCTATGGTTGCTTCCGATTGGACGAGAAAGTGTAGCCTGCGTTGACGAGCGCGATGTGCGTCCTTGTGAGATGAAACTCCACCACATCACTCCAACCCATACCACCATTGCTTCGTCAAGTCAGCCCCCAAATGGCACCCATAGTCCATGCCACGTCAGCTCCAGTCTCCACCAGTACCAACTTCGGGTGGTTTACGGTTGTGGATTATCCAAACTGTAATGAATGTGAAATTCATTACTGTAGAACTGTCCTTAGCGAGGACAGCCCCGAGCAGTTCGCGTCAGTGTGGCTCGGCCTACACTTTCGCACCGAACCAGCCCCGAGTCGCCCCGCACCAATTGCGACATTCCCGAGCCACGCACATCGAGGTCCTCGCCTAGCACGGTTTCGACCCTATAAATGCTCGCTTCATTATCATTCTCGACATTCTGTAATTCTCATCCTTTTTATAAAGTCTTCCGCGCACTCTTCTTAGTACAACTCATAACACTTGGTATCAGAGCCTAAGTTCCTAGGTTCCCCGTTTTTTAGAGTGTATTACCCCTCGGGGGGGGGGACAGGGAAGGATGCCGTGGTGACAGGAGTAGCGCAGTAGCCGGCCAGGAGAACGGGTAGTTGCTCCTAGCGGCCATGAATTTCTCTGGCGCTTCTGCGGCACCGACGGATCCTTGCCCTCGACGGTCAAGATCGACCGTGGCCTCCCTCCCCCCGGGTGGCGGACAGCTTTTGCTGTCGTCGCAATTAATGCATGCGTAAGTTGCGTGCGTTTTCGTCAACTTCGGAGTAATTTTGTGTGGCAGATGACGTCGCCAGGATTGAAGTCACTGCACGTCCGAAGTTGTCGGGAGTACACGTGGTGCGAGTTGACATCTGCATGTGGTCGTCAACTGCGCACGAAGATTTCGGAGTTAATGCACGCGGCAAGTGGCGTCTAGCGACTTCGTCACGTTGCGCACGAGATTTTCTGAGGACTTCGGCACGTGGCGATCGTGGTCACTGTGCGCGAAGATTTCGGGTAGCAGCACGTGGAAAACGACTGCTGTGCGAGCAGCCAGGCGCATGGTGATTTGCGTCGGAAAATGCGACGGCGCGGAGTGATGGCGTGACGATTGCCCGAAGAAAGTGGGGGTCTACCGTCGTTCAGCCCGGGTGTGGCCGGTGTGGCTACAGGAGGGTGCGTCGCTGGCGTTTTCGGCAGGAGCGGCAAAGTGTGGGACGGAAGTCATTTTCAAACCACCGAAAAGTGCGGAAAAGGCCGCCTACGACTAGACTGTTCGCGTTAGGGTCACTTCTGCGCCTGCAACAACGTCGGCCGAAAATTTCGGAGCAACAGCAGCAGCCGACACTGTACTTCAGGCGGCACAGTTTCCCCCTGATCAAGGGAAGTTGTGTCGCAGACGGGGCAGTACACCGACGAGGACAACGGTTTATCGCACAAATACGGGTTTTTCGAGCTTCAGGAGGCGACCTACTGCGAGACTTTTTGCGAGGCCGAGTTTCGAAGCGGCGGTAGCAGAAGGAGCTCCCTACCGGCCAAAGTCCACCGACGTTTCGCATACCCCACGCCCAGAAGGCCTCGAAGGCAATGGTAAGACCAAAGAGCCACTGGATCCAAAGGTGGGGCCCTGTGTTTAGCCCTGTGCTGGTTAGAAAGGCGCGGGTGACGCTGGTTCGACGGCAGGGCGTTCAAGAAAAAAATTCCAGGATGCGGCACTGTTTCGGCCCCGACAAAAACGGACCATCGGCGACAGTTACCCTGCCGAAAATGTCGGGACTGAAGAAATTGTGGCAGCTGTCGGGAATTTCTCCTAATTTACCAGTCTACCCAGCAGCGGTGTAGCGGCGAAGACGGGGTCTCCGAAGCTGTGGAATTTTAAAAGCGATAAGACGCGGTGGGCAAACGAAGCGGCCGGCCCGACGGTTTGATCCGATAAACCTGATCCGGTTACGATAGCATTCGCGCCTTCACCGATGTCAGAAAAATCGCGGGCAACACGGAGTTATACCTCATCCGACAAAAGCGGACGCTGGGTGAACGGCGGCAAGCGAAATTGTCGGGGGGTGAAGACAAAAACAAATGGGGGGAAATTTGTGGGTGCTCCAGCAGATCTCCAGAGTGAAAGGTGGAGCTCGTACACCAATCTACCGCGAATTTCGGGGTCTATTCGGTAGACCCCCGAAAGGGTTTGATATAATGACATGGAGTCGCGGCGAGCGGTGTATCGCCAAGGATACCTGGGATTCGCTAAGTAATTTCGACGGGTGCGAAGACGGGTGAACGTCGGAGTACCAGGGTTAACGGCGGAAACGTCGGGGTTACGCGGCGGAAAATACTTCGGGACTGCTTCAACAACCATGATTTTCGGGGTTTCTTTCCTACGGTGGGAGACGGGTGAACGTCTGCTCGCCAGCTGTTTTCTGCGTTTTACGGTGTACTTCAAGGGGACAACTTGCAGACGACCAAGATTTTACGGGGTGTGTTAATTTCCGACATTTTCGGGTGCAACGAGCAGCTTCGGGAAGAGTTTTAACGGAGTCAGCGGGATCGCTGACAGTATCCGTGCCGACGGCCGACTGCAGCGTCGCTTGATTAAGCACGCGAAGGCACTCGTCGTCAAATTTGTAGCCGTACATTCGGAGGCTGTTCGGGGGTACCAGCCGCAACATGAGGGAGAATTTTACAACAGGTGGGGGGGAGAAGGCGACAGCTGTTTTTGCCCCTGCCCAGAGTTTTTGGAGCAACGCAACAAGTGCCTCGGCGAGTCTGGACAAGACTGCCGGGGGCACCGACAGCTGGAGCAGATACAGTGAGGATTTGGCCACAGCAACGCGACAACAGGACAGCAGCAATTACGGGGCTGCAGATTCTGGCAACCGAGATTCAGCAGCAGCAGGGTGATTCGATACTGCCACGCGAGGGATTTCGGGGTGGCAGTCACGGGAGATTCTGCAGCAGCAGTCGAGACTACGAGACAAGAAGAAAGTCTTCATGCAGTTTTTAATTCAGGAATCGCAACCGAGTCCGGGAGCACAACGATTTTCCCTCTAAACGGACTCCGCGGTTTACCCTGAAGAGTTCTACCAGGCCACGACAATAATTTTTGCCACCAGCTACTTTTCGACAGTGCAGCTGCTAAAACTTCGACGGGGTTCATACCACTTGGTATTTCGGATTACCCCCCCCCCGGCAGATGGGATTTCTGGAGTTTCTGCCCGCGCAGCTGTCCTACCGTACGGTCTACCCTTTTCTTCAAGGGGGGGGAGGGAGAGTGATTCTCGCTCTGTGCTTGTCAGAAAACTGACAGCTTCGTCTGACAATCCGGCACGACGGACGCTTGCGATGGCTTTATCGGCATCGACGACTCCCGATTCACTGACAGCGTGTCAGAACTTTCGCCAGCATCGCCAGCGTCACCAACGCACGATTTACATCGACGGCTATCTTTCGTCGACAGATTTCAACTCGTCACTCGCCTTCAACCGCCCGATCGACATCGACAGTATCAAACGGCTGACATTCCAACTCTCTGTAGTTCGCCTGGTCAACGCGCTCAGCCACGCGTCAACTCGAAAGTCAACACGCTTCCGCACCGTCGGATTGGTTTTCGACTGAAATCTGCAGCTTTCACGCTACTGCCAGACTCGCTTACGTATAAGGCGCCTTCTTTAGAAGGTGGGAGAGTGTAATGAATATGAAATTCATTACTGTAGAACTGTCCTTAGCGAGGACAGCCCCGAGCAGTTCGCGTCAGTGTGGCTCGGCCTACACTTTCGCACCGAACCAGCCCCGAGTCGCCCCGCACCAATTGCGACATTTCTGAGCCACGCACATCGAGGTCCTTGCCTAGCACGGTTTCGACCCTATAAATGCTCGCTTCATTATCATTCTCGACATTCTGTAATTCTCATCCTTTTTATAAAGTCTTCCGCGCACTCTTCTTAGTACAACTCATAACACAAACGTATCATAAGTTACGACCAGCTTCAATAATATACAACATTTATGCTATTGAACTGGTCAGGAACTTAAACATTCTACATTACGAAAGGACGAGGACTTGCAGAATAGATGTCATGGGACAAGGCAGGGAATTGCTGCCTGCCTTGAAATGGCCAGCCCATACCTTGCCCAGCTCCTGATGTGCTCCCTGATGCGCCTGGGCTCACACTGTATAGTAACATTCACGAACAGGATTTTGACAGCTGTAACACAGACAGCCATGGAAGGCCGTAGGCAGAGAGCCAAGCTAAGGCCCACAACCACAGCTCGGCCTGGAATGTGTACTTCAATGGAAGATAGCAGATCGAAGACCAGGTGTGGTGGAGTGGAGGAGAGATGCGTGTAAGAGGACTGACTCTTGAGGGAAGCTTGGGTGATGGCATGGCATTGACCGTGACTGACACACGGCATTTCCCATGATACATGGCACTGCAGGGAAACAGTTGAAAACGAGGCCGGTAAGGAAACATGAGCAGTGGTAACAGTGAGGGTTTGCACTGTAGCAGTGACCTGCACAGGAAAAAAATCAGCTGGGACCATCCACAAGAAACAGCCATCAGCACACACTCAAACACGCCAAAAAAAAGAGCGAAGAGTTGCACCTTGAGAGAAGCAGAGGCCAGGAGAGCAAGAGGTGGTTGCAATCAGCATCGAATGCGCTTGGGGTTGTCCCCGCCAGCCGGGGACTGCAGTTCTGGCAGGAGGAGGTGCTGCTCTGACGGCAGCAGGTCCATTGGCCGCTTTGCTGGTGGCGTCAATAGTACCTGCCGCCTCTCCTCCTCCTCCTCTGCTGCTGTTGCTGCTGCTGCTGCTGCTGTGTCACATGGTGACCCTGCTGCTGTTGCTTCTGCTGCTTGTGCTGATGCGGCTTCGGGTTCAGCTGCTGCTTCTTCTGCTGGTGCTGCAGCTTCTGGGGCTGATGATGGTGCGTGTACAGGTGCTGCATCTGAGGCTGTACCTGCTGGTCCTGCAGGCATGCATGCCTCTGCTGTTACAGATGGCGCCTCTGCTTCCATACCTCCTTCACTCCTCTCCACGCAGCCACCATCCCCACCAGCACCTGCCATTGGATGGTCTGTGCCACGCTCACCAACACACATGCCATCCTTATGCCTGTTGCCTGCTCCACCCTCTGCCTCTCCTGCTTCTTCTCCTGCCACCCCGCCTGACCCCTCCACAGGAGTGCAGCCGTTACCAGCAGACTCCCTCACGTCACCATTCCCTCCATTTCCTCCACTCGCCCTGCCTCCTCCTCCTGCTGCTGGAGCTGCTGCTGCTGCTGCTTCATCCCCCTGTCTCCACCCGTCACTGCACCCATCAGCTTCGGTCCCACCTGCAATGTTCCTCGCATCACCTCCGCTGCTCTGACCCTCGTTGCTACACCCTCCACTGCGCAAATTCCCTACCATCCCCTCCTCATCATGCCCCTCCCCATTGTGCCCCTCCCCATCATGCCCCTCTCCATCGTGCCCCTGAACAAAACTGTCCTCTTCACCCTCCCTGCTTCCCGCAACAATCGGCGAGAACGGAGCGCCACCGGCACCACCACCATCGTCACCACCATCATCACCACCATCTCCACCAGCATCACCATCACCATTTCCTCCTTTGCCCCCTCGCCCTCCCCCTCCACCCCCACCCTCCGCCAGTCCCTCAGGAATAGCTCCCAGACTGCGAGCGTGGCGGCGGGCAGAGGGCGTGGGGGCAAAGGAGGAGTGAAAGAATGGGGTGGCAGGGGAGAAAATGGTGTCGGCACCAGAGGTGGGGAAGAGCGGGGAGAAGAGCAGCGTGGGCGACATCAGGGGCGATGGCATGATGAATACTGCACCGCTACCACCACCGCCGCCACCGCCGCCGCCGCCGCCGCCAGTGCTGCTGGTGAAGCCGCCGCAGTTGCCTGCGCTGCTGCTGCTCCCAGCAACTCCTCCTGCCCCTCCTGCTTTCCCTGCCCCCAGCGCCCCTCCTCCACCAAAAGAACCCATGCCGGACCCACCACCACCACCACCGCCAACACCACCACCACCGTTGCTCCCGCTGCCTCCACCCGCAGCGCCGCTGCCACCCCCACACATCCCCATCCCTCCCGCGTCAGCACCCATGGAGCCAAAACCAGTGAGGCCGCCAGGCAGGGTGGTGTGGTCGTCAGGGCCTGCGAGAATGGAGGGCGAGAAGAGCGAGGGTTCCGAGTCAAACCCCACTGCCTTCATGTCCAGAGGAGGCGGTCGGGGGAAGCGCGAGAGCAGCGAGCTCGTGCCGGGCCGTGGGGGCTTGAACACATCCGCTGCCTGCTGCTGCCGCTGCTGCTGCGGCTGCTGGTGTGAGCTGCCTCGTCCCACTCCTCCTTGCCCTCCTCCTCCGCCCCCGCCTCTTAAACTCGTGTTGACTGCCATTGCACCCGCACCAGCAACACTAGCAGCAGCGGCAGCAGCATCGTCCTCCTCATCAGCTGCACCCATGGCCATCTCTTCCATGGGCGGCAGCAGGTCCTCCCCTCTGTGCACTGCTTCCAAGGCGCCTGCTGCTCTTGTTGCTACTGTTGCTTCTACTTCTGCTCCTGCTGATACCGCTGCTTCTGTTGGTGCTGCTGGTGGTGCAGCTGCTTCTTCCCCTACTGCTGGCGGGTGCCTGGACACCCCGTGTTCTGTTGCTGCTCTCCCTGCCTCTTCTGCTCGGCCACTGCTCCCTCCCACCGCCCGCTCTTCTCCTGCTTCCCTACCCTCACATTCTCCTGCCAGAGCAGCAGCAGCACCAGCACCAGCATCAGCAGGCGGAGTGGCAGCGGTGGTGGCAGTGCTCCTGGCAAGAGCAGGCTCATTGCCCTCACAGCCCTGCCTGTGCACGTCCACGGGTGAACCCCCTTCTGCTGCACGTGCCTGCTCATCACCCTCCTTTGCTGCTTCTCTGCCCTCTGCTACACTCGAGCTTGGCTCACCGCCCCCCTGCAGCTGCAGCGGCTGTTGCTGCTGTTTGTGTTGCGGTTGCTCGTCTCGCATGCTCTCATCTGCCTCGTCCCCATCCCCTCCAACCACCACCAGCTTTAGAAACTTCTCTTCCTCGTCCTCTTCATTCTCCTCCTCCGCCTCCTCTCCTCCAACACCCCTCTGCTCGCTATGCGCTCGCCCTTCCGATCCTAAGCCCACACCAAACTCCCCTGCCTCCATCTTCACCCCTCCTTCCCTACCCGCTTCCACTGCTCCTGTGTCTGCTCTTGCTGCAAGGCTGCCATTGCATCGCACACCTAGCTCACCGCTTGTCTCGCCGTTTCTCGGCCCAAACAGTCCCACAGTCCCACTGCCATCTCTGCTACGCCTGATCCCACCTCGCCTCCCACCTCGTCATCCCCTCCTTCCCCTTTCCCGCTTGCTCCTCCTGCGCCACCTATAGCGCCACCTTCCCTCTGCCATGCACGAGCCGAAGCCGCGGCTATCGCTGCTGCTGCTGCCGCCGCCGCCGCTGCCGCCTCTCCTTCCTCCATCTCCTCCCCTTCCTCATCCAAACACCCACCAGCCCCAGCACCAGCAACAGTACCACCCCCAGCAACAGCAGCAGCAGCAGCAGCAGCAGCGGCGGCGGCGGCGGCAGCATGGGCCATATCGCGGCCAGTGCTGCAGCTGTCTAGACTCGCTCTCCTCTGCAACCCAGCACCCTTGCTCCCTGCACCACCCGCCCCACTCTGCCATTCGCCTCCACCCCCAACTCCGCCCATTGCATACCCCGCCCCTACCCCAGCCCCCCCAGAAGCTCCCCCTGCTCCTGCTCCTGCTCCTATCCCCCGCCCCCCTATCCCCGCTCCCCTTCCCCCTCCGCCTGCCCACCCCCCCGCTCCTGCGCCCGCGCGCCTCTCACTCATGATAGAGCACCCGGCGGAATCCGCAGGCCCTACATCCCCGCTCGCTCTGCTCATAGTGTTCCGCCCGTCCCCACTCACCTGACCACTCACCTGACCGCTCACCTGGGGCCAATCGGAGCTTCTCTGAGGTTCTTCCGAGCCCTGGGACTTGCTACCGCCGCCCCCCCAGTCCCCCTTCATTGCGAGCACCAGCAACGCTTTCAGCAGCTCCCGCTTCTGCTTCTGCACCTGCCTCGCATCTTCTCCTCCCTCCTCCTCCCCGCCTTCCTCTTCTTCCTCCTCGTCCCCCTCCTGCCCCGTCTTGCTCGCGGACACCTGGGGCTGCTGGGATGGTTCCTGCGATTGCGATTTCGATTGCTGCTGCTGCTGTTGGCGTAGGAGCAGTTGTTGGAGCTGCAGCAGCAGCTGCTGCTGCTGTTGCTTTGCTGCTTGCTTCTGTTGCTGCTGCTGCTGCTGCTGCTGTTGTTGTTGTTGTTGCTGCTGCTGCTGCTGTTGCTGCTGTTGTTGCTGCTGCTGCTGCTGCTGCAGCTGCTGCAACTGACGAAGCTGCTGCTGACGCTGCCTCTCCTGCTGCTGCTGCCGTTGCTGTTCCTGCTCCTGATGCTTCTGACGCTGTTGCTGCTGCTGCTGCCGGCGTAAAAGCTGTTGCAGAAGCTGCAGCTGCTGCTTCTGTAGCGTATCCTCCTGATTCTCCTCTTGCTGAACCTGCTGCTGCTGCACCTGCTGTTGCTGCTGCTGCTGCTGCTGCTGCTGCTGCTGTTGCTGTTGCTGTTGCTGTTGCTGCCTCAGCTTGTTAACAAGCATCAACAGAATCCCAGCACTGTCTTTACTCGCTAGAAGCTCCTTCGCTGTAGCCACTCCATCCGGGCTGTTCAGCTTCGCAAGAAGCGCAACAGCAACAGCAGCAGCAGTACCTCCTCCCCTCCCTCCCCCTCCGCCTCCGCCTCCCCCTCCCCCTCCGCCTCCGCCTCCCACTTCTCCCCCAATCGATGCTGCACCAGGAGACAGTGCCGCCATTCCTCCCCTGTCTCTTCCCCCACCACCAGCAACCCCACTCTCACTCCCCTGCCCTCTCAATTCATCCCGCCCCACACCCACACCACCCACACCCCCAGCCCCGCCCCCAGCACCTGCGTTACCCCCCCAAGTGCTTGCGCCCGCACCCCCAGCCCCGCCCCCACTGGCGCTTCCGCTGACGCTCTGCCTGTGCGCTATCCCCGATAAGGCGGAAACTCCCCCCGCCTTTAGCAGTGCCGCAAGCACGCCCGCATCTATCCCTCCCCCCAGCACCCTCCGCGGGGCCCCGCTTCCGCTCGCGCTTGCGCTGATACTTGCGCCAACGCTGGCGCTTCCGCCCTCCCTAAGCCCGTCGCGCCCGCTTCCGCCAAGAGCTTGACCTCCCGCTGCGCCAATCCCGCCCACACCGCTCCCCCCGCCCCCACTGGTGCGCCTCTGCAGGTCAAGCGCACCCAGCAGTCCGCTATGCGCCACTCCCCCCGCGCCCCCTCCTTCAAGTACACTTGCGAGGGCATCCGTGCTTCTGCTTCCTTCCATTACCCCATTTCCCCCTCCGCTCCCCCTTGCCAGCCCCGCAAGTCCCCCAGATAGCCCCCCTGCGGCGGATCCTAGGCGCGAGCCCAACAGCCGCGCCAGGAGCTTCCGCGTATTCGCATCCAGGGGGTTTCCGGCCGCGGCGGAGGCGGCGGCGGCGGCGATTGCTGCGGAAAGCGCGGCGGAAGTTGACGAGGAGACGGAGGACGGGCGCGGTTGCTGCTGCGCCTGGTGATGGGACGATGCCGCCAGGGAGGAAAGGGGGAAAGGCGCAGCTGGCGCGGAGAGACTGGACGGGCACGGGGAGCGGGAAAGCGCTCCCCCTCCACCGCCGCCTCCCCCTAGGGCGGATCCAGACATCCCCGAGAGCGCGGAATGCTCCCGCGCAGGCTGCGCGGGGGAAGAGAAGCGCCCATCGTTGATGTCCGCGTCGGGGCTCCTGAGGCGCAAGGGCAGGGGGGAGACGGCGGAGCCCGTGGGCAAGTACGAGCGGATGGACGACGCTGCGGGAGAGCCTCCCCGCCCCCCTCCCCCTCCCCTTACCGCTCCCCCGCCGCCCGCGGAACCCTGCCCCGCAAGAGCTGCAGCGGAAGGCCCCAGGCGCGCGGGAGAAGGGGAAACAGTGGCGGCTTCCGACGCCTCGCGCTCCGCGGCGGCCCCGGCGGCGGAGCGGGAGGCGGAGTTACTCCGCGGGCGGGGCGGGGAGGGCGGGGAGGACTCGACGAGGAGCGAGAGGTGCAGGCGCACGTGGCCCAGCAGCTTGCCGTTGCGGCGGTGCACGGGCTGCATGACGTCTAAATGGCCGTCCGCGAAAACCGGAGACAGGTTGAGCTTGCACGACCCGAGAATGCGATCGCCCGCGTCCGCCTTGTCCCAGAACTGCACGTGCAGATCCTGGGGGTACGCGAGGAGGGGGAGGAGAGGGGGGGGGGGATGGGGGAATGGCGCGGGGGGAAATGGCGTGGGGGGGATAGCGCGGGGAGAATGGCGCGGAGGGGCGCGGGGGAGATGGCGCGGGGTGGTGCGGGGTATGGCGTGGGTGGGAATGGAAAATGGAGAAGGGGGGAGCATACATGTGTGAGAGGAGAAGGGAATTGGATGAGGGAGGGAGTAGGGGAATGAAATCTGAACGTGACGAGGAACCAGAGGCGTTGGGAAGGACGGGAGAAGAGGGAAGGGGAGGAGGAACGGAGAGTTGCGGGAGTCGAAGGAGCGGCGGAAAGGCAGAGCGGAGGAGGAAAGAGGCGGAGAGAAGAGGAGAGGCGAGGAAAGAAGACGAGCGGCGGGGGGCGGGGGAGGAGAGGAGAGTTACCATGGGCCCCTGGCCGTCTTCCGGGAGGAGGAAACTGAAGCGGTGGTTCCAGACGGGGCGCGAGATCTGCGAGCATGATGTGTGCGTGCGGTGCTGCTGGGAGCCGAGGCGCAGTACGGCGTAGGGATCGGACTTGGTGGTGGACTTGCTGTCCTTGAGCCCTGACGTCGATCCCACGGTTACCTCCAGGCATCGCGCCACCATTCCGATGGCCTTTTGTTGCTGGTTTTGATGCCTTTTTTTGGGGCTTTGTTTGGTTATTTGATGAGGTATAAGGACCGCGAATTGCGGCTATGGCCGGGTGTTATTGACAGGGAAAGTGTGAATGGGACGGTGGCATCCGTGTAGGAGCAATTGCTGCAGTAAAGTCACACGCGTTGCTGAAAGTCAGCTGCTTGTTGCTCCTCGTCCTCTTTCTGGTGCGACGGATTGGCTCGTAATTCACCAAGAGCGATACCAGTAACGGAGAGGGGGGTTATGGAACCTACATCGAAAGGTAGAGGTGAGAGAAGCAGAGTGCAGATACACGGGAGGTAACACGAGCACGAGAATAAGAGGCGTCGAGCTTTGACCTAAACCACGCCGCAGCTGTCAGCGGTGCGACAGCAATAAATTATTACGACTTACGACAACGAGCTATAAGTTATTCTGCATACTTGTGTACCGCTGTTCGCACTACAATGCCAGTAGTACTGCTCTCACCACCCAGCCTAACTGGCAACCTCCAGGGACATCCACCTCAGGCGCATAGAAAATGCAACTGGCATATCAGTTTCCTTTTTCTGATCAGTCGATCGAGCGAAGAAAGAAAGGGTGGTGGTGTGGTGGTGGTGTACTGCGGCGGAGATTCCAGAAAGCCCAGAAGATTTGAAAGAAGAGAGGTTGGGTTGGGTTGGCTGGGTGTTGCCGCTTGGATAGTTGGCTTGGTTTGGGAGATACGGGTGTGGTTGGTTGTTGGGGGAAAGGAGTAGCATAGCAAGGCAATTATCGGGGGATGGCTTGGTCGGATGGATGCGAAGAGGAGGTGAAGGGGGAAAGGGCGGGTGCAGGCAGGATAGGGATGATGATGTGATGATGATGATGAGTTCACAAAAACATATTCGCGAAATTCGCCACTTCGCTCTTGTGCGAGCGCTTGCGAGGTTAATGTAACTTTGCAATCTGCGAGAATTTCGTGCGAAAAAAGGTTGCAGCGGGCGGGGGTGGCTGGCGGAACTGAACGGAATAGGCTTGCATGGAGCCGTACCACCAAACCACACACGGAGTTCCCAAGGCTGGGACGGTGTCAGTTGCATCCATTCACGAGGCAATCACTCACTCGAATGAGTAGGGTAGGTATGACTTTCAGGCGTACAGAATGTGAGTACTAGATGTAAGGACGTGTATGATTTTTGAAATTGGCAAAGTTTGCATTTTTTGTCGAATGTAGGATTTGAACTTGAGCCGAACAGTGTTCGACTTCCATTGAACGTGAATTTTGAACCGCGCATGAGAGTTGCAAGTAGGTCAAATCACACACCCAAGGTCGAATTTGAATGTTCGACCTTATAGGGGGTGAGCCGAGCCGCTCGTAGGGGTAGTAGGTTACCAGGTATAATTTTGTAGACATCGCGCCAGCTCAACATACTGACTGCGCTTTTGACGAGGGTTACACTATGTCGCAAAAGTTTCGCAAACCTCGTTAATTGTCGTACGTGCGCAAAACCACACACGTTCGGTTCACTGTACGCGCCCACATTAGTGCATTTACTCGAGTCGAGTTCGGAAACCCTAGGTCGAATTTGCCACGTCTTCAAAAGGAAAGTCTTTCGTCACAAAGCTTCCGCGAATTGACGAAGCGGGTAACCACACAAAGTTCGACCTGTTTTCTGAACCTATAAAAACATCATACACGTCCTAAACGAGGTATGGGTTTCTTTTCCAGTAGCGCAGAGATAAATCAGATGCGTCAGGATCTCCACCAACCACGCCACCGCATTTGACTCCCAACAACTTCCCGAGGCTGGGGGATGTGTGAGCTGGCACACAGCAACAGGATGACCTCGCACATTTACAGGGGGCACTTGGTGCTGAATGAATGAGAATGTGTAATGAAGCACAATGCATTTCCAACGGGTAGCACTTTCTGACAACAGCTAAAGATTATCTAACCTGCTTTATAGGCAGTGCGACATAACATATATCGTTACAGCACATCAGGTCCTTGGGGGTCCGTTCCCGATTCACAATAATTATGCCCCACACACGAGCAGCAGATGGAGCATAATAACTTCAATTTCCTCTCTACCTACTCAATGTACGGTATGAAGGACCTAATAGACTCTTCAACCCAACCCAACCCAACCAGGCCCTCAGAAGTCAGACTTTTTTCTCTGATTTGCATGAAAAACTCTGAGAATTCAGATTTTTTTGTAAGTGAACTCTGTTAGAATCAGAGATTTTTTGGCCCCAACTCTGTAATTTTCAGAAAAATGTTAAGGCTAACTCTGGAATTTCAGATTTTTCCGGGAGTGTACTCTGAATCATTCAGAGTACAAACGCGTTCTTCACTGGTTATTCAAGTCACAGCAGATTCGCACTGTCAACGCAAAATCGCCTTGACACAGCAAATCCGCGCGCCTCACAGCACGAAATTTTCGCCTATCACAGCAAAATCGCCCTGACACCACAGATTTGCGCCGTCAGAGCACTGCAGATTTCGTCCAATCACCAAAATTTCGCATCTGATACAAGATTCGTTCAATCACCAAACGATTCGCCCAATCACCACAAGATTCGCCCTGACGCAAGATTCGCGTCAGACATTGCAGATTCGCCGTCTGAGCACGTTCTCCCGAAATCCCCTTAGCCTAGCATGTTTCGGTATCAGATGAATGAAACATTGAATTCATTTCTGATGAACATTGAATACATTGATTTCGAATGTTCAGACTTTTTTATTTAGACACTCTGAAATTTCAGCCTTTTTTTTTTTACCAACTCTGAGAGTTTCAGACTAAAACTGTGTACTAGTCTGACGAATCAGACAGGCCAAAAACGAATCTGAGGGCCTGAACCCAACCCAATGTCAATCCACATACAGCAAAATCATACGGTACTGACAGGGGCCTCTGAGGACCCACCTATACTCAGCTACAATCAAGAGCCAATGGACTCACACAACACCCTTTATTACAAGAACGGACAGATGGGGGGACTGGGTAGCTGATGGGGGCAGGAGGTGTGGAGCAGAGAGGAGAGTAACTGTGGAAACAGGGGGCTCTAGTGTGTCGGTGCGCACTGGAGGTGTGCTGATGCAGAGAGAAAGAGGGGTACTTGGGACGCCTGCAGAAGCCTGTCGCAGCCATTCCTGGTAGATTCAGAGGGTATGTTGCAGGCGAGGACAACAGAGACGCATGGATAGTGGGAGAGACGAGGGAGGGAATCAGACAAGAGGAACTACCAAGTGAAACCTGTGTGCATGTGCCCGCTTGCTTGTGCGCACACCCACCCATCCACCCACACACATACACCCCATGTCATCTCTGCATCTCCACATAACGCTGCTCGTTCCCCCCCATTTCCTCTTCCAATGAACCTTACCTCCACGGCAGTTCTTTGTGCCTCGGGAAGAGCTGCAGGCAGGCACGTGCCGGGTGCAAGAGCGGAAGAGGGCAGGCCCAGCAGGAGGGGCAGGGCGGGGTTGGAGAGCAGTAGGTGCCCAGAGGGGGGCTGCAGAACTGCAAAGCCCAGAGATGCCTGCGAGAGCAGGTTGCTGCAGGTGGGGGGAGTGGGGGGGTGTGGGATTAGATGTCGGGGTTTGCAGGGGAGGCGGTGGTAGGGGAGGGGGAGGAAGAGAACGCGGACGATAGACAGAGGGATGCAGATCAAGAGTGGAGGCGAAGATGGCGGAATGGGGATTTGAGGCGAGCAGTGGCAAGCTGAGCGCAGGGTAACCAGATGCATTCAGACAGGCAAATGAGAAAGCGCGAGGGGGGCAGAAAGGGGTGAGGAGAAATGGGGAAGCTGGGAGTTGGGGGAAAGAGAGGGCCCCACCTGAACCACGACTCAGCAGCGCCAGCGCACTTGGCACACACAGTAGCAGCAGCAGCAGCAGCAGTAGCATCGCTCCCGCACGAGTTCCCCATGTGTTCATGGGCATGGTCATGGGCATCTGTTACCACCCCATCCTCCACTTCCCCGCCACCAGCGCCCTCCTCCCCTTGCCCCTCCTCCCCTTCCACATCAGCCATCACTGCCACGTCACCATCCTCCCTCGCTTCGCTCCCATGCTCCACCACACTACCATCCTCCTCCCCACTCCCATCCCCACCATTTTCCTCCTTCCCCTCCTTGCCCTTGCCCTTCCCTTCCTGCTGCTCAATCCTTTCAAATGTCCCCTCCCTTCCCTCCACCTCCTTTTCCTCCTCCTCCTCCTCCTTTCCCTCCTCCTTCTTACCCTCATTCTTCCCCTCCTTCTCCAGGGCATTCGTCTGCTCCTGCACACTCCTCAGACCCCCCAGCATGCGCTCTAGTGCTGCCATTTCCTCTTCCAATTGCTGCAGCTCTCGCCTCACTGCCTCCTCCCTCCCTTGCTCCTGCACCCTCTTCTCCTCTGCATCCCGTTCTGCCTCTTCCCTTGCCTTGATTTCTGCCTCTGCCCTTACCTCTTCCTCTGCCTTTACTTCTAGCTTTCCCTCTGTCACCTTCCTCGCTTCATCTGCCTCCTCCCTCCCCACAGCAAGCACCACCGCGGTTGCACCAGCACCCTCGTTGCTCCCCACAACCAAGCCCGTTTCGCCCCTTCCATCTCCCTCCTCCTCCCTCTCCCTCTCCTTCTCCTTCGCTGTCTCGGCATCCCGCCCATCCCAGATGCCTTCCCTCCTACCAGACCTCATTTTCATGAGCATGGGCCCTCGTACAGGCCTCGCTGCTGCTGCTGATGCTGCTGCTGCTGCTGCTGCTGCTGCTGCTGCTGCTGCTGCTGCTGCTGCAGCTGCTGCTGCTGGTGGTGGCGCTTCTACTCCTCCTCCTGCTGCTGCAGCTGCTACTGCCTCGGCACCTCCCACATCAGCAAGCCCCTTCCGCTCACCCTCCTCCTTCCCCCCGTCACTCCCCTCGAAAACCCCATTTTCATCGCCCCTCCCTCCCTTCCCTGCCTCCTCAACCGCACCTCCCCTCACCCCGCCCTCCTCGCTGCCCACGCGTGTCACAGCGCTCTCAGCAAGGTCCTCCCGCCTGCCAGACCGCAGCTTCATCAGCATCCTCCGAGGGTCAGGCCTCTCCAGAACCTTACCAGCGGTATCGCTGTCCCTCTCTCCCCCTTTGACACCTGCGTCTCCCTCGTCTGCCCCCTTCACTAACCCCCCAGCACTAGCGGCACTCACAGAACCAGCAGCACCAGCAACACCAGCTGTATTAGTGCCACCCGCAGCAGTAGCAGCATCATCAGCACCACCCTTCGCACTGCCCTCCTCGCTGCCCACGCGTGTCACAGCGCTGTCAGCCAGATCCTCCCGCCTGCCAGACCGCAGCTTCATCAGCATCCTCCGCGGATCAGGCCTCTCCACCACCACCGCTACTACCTTGCCAGCAGTATCGCTGTCCCTCTCTCCCCCTTTCACGCCTGCGTCTCCCTCGACTGCCCCCTTCACTAACCCCCCAGCACCAGCGGCAGTATCAGTGCCACCAGCAGCAGCACTAGCAGCATCAGCAGCACGGCTCTCACTAGTCTCTCCCCCACCATCTCCCCCAGAACCACTATTCCCACTGCCCTTGCCACTCTCCTCATTCGCTCCCTCCCCAGCCCCACCTGCTTCTCCCATTCCTCCACGCCCTCCTCCCCCTCCCCCACCTCCTCCGGACACCCCTCCCGGCCCCACTGCTCCCCCACCCATTCCCCCTGGGACCACTCCTCCTGCGCCTCCCACCCCTCCTCCTGCCCCCGGTGCTCGACCCAGAGCACCGAAGTCCAGGTCTCCCCGGGACCCGCTCCTCCTACCCGACCGCAGGCGCATCAGCATTCTCCTCGGCTCCAGCTTCTCTATCCCTGTCACCCCCTCCTTGCCTCCCTCCCTGCCGTCCCTGCCCTTCCCACCGCTACCCTCTCCGTCGCCCTCCCTCACTCCCTCTCCTGCCCCCTCTCCTGCGACCTTTCCCCCCTCACTGCTCCTGCTCTCCGCCACCTTCCCGTCACCACTCTTCCCCTCACCGCTCTTCCCCTCGGCTGCCCTTCCTTCCCCATCGCCCGCGTCACCATCAACAGCAGCGCGCAGATTCATTGCCGCATAATCCATCTCCCCTCGGGACCCCCCCCTGCGACCGGATCGCAGCTTCATCATCATCCTCTTCCGCTCCGCCCCTGCTTCTGCAACACCAGCAGCAGCGCCGGCAGCACCAGCAGAATCCACAGCAGCAGCAGCAGCAGCAGCAGCACCAGCACCAGCACCAGCAGCAGCATAAGCTCCCCATCGAAAGAAGAAGCAGCACCAACAGCAGCAACAGCATTAGCAGCAGCAGCAGCAGCAGCAGCCGGCGCCCCTCTCAGAGCCCCACAGGCCCCTCCCCTTGGCTCTAGGCCCAGGAGTGACAACCTCAGGCCGCAGCCCACTGCGCCCCACACTCCTGCTCCGCACCGGCTCATCCAACCCCCCTGACACATGCAGCCGCGGCACAAACGCCGCGAAACTGTTCTTCTTGCCCTCCCCTCCCCCGCCTGCTCCTGCCCCCCCTGCTCCCCCTGCTGATCCAAGCCCAGCCCCGTCTACTCCTCCTGCTCCTCCTGCTCCTGCTGCCCCAGCATCCCCAGCGGTGCCTGGAGGCTGGGAAACGTCAATGTCTCCAGCAGCAATGCTGTCCCAGCCCTCACACACCCACATGTCCCAGTTGCCCTTGATCAGCTTCTTTGGCTTGGGCATTCCTGGGAACCCACCTGCTCCCTTGCTGCTCTCGCTGCTGCTGCTGCTCTTGTTGGAGAAGAGTGCGTTCATAGGGGCCAACCACCGCGCTCCGCCTACCCCTTTGCTCCCCAATCCCTTCAATCCTCCTCCTCCGCCTAATCCTCCCAGATCCGCCCATTCGTCTGCAAGCCCTCCCTTCTTCCCTCGCCGCGGTCGCTCCTTATCAGACCCTCGCACTCCCTTCAGCCTGACACCAGCATCACCAAAACCACCACCACCACCAGCACCGCCGCCGCCGCCGCCACTCGCACCGGTCCCCTCGCCGCCGCTGCTACTGCTCCTGCCCACAGCCACAGCAGCACCCCACACTTGCCCCCCCGCCAGACTCACCACCTTGCTCGCCCTGGGACTACTAGGCGCAGACGTCCCATGAATCAAATCCCCCGCCGTCACCACCGACAACGGCACTGCTGCCGCTGCTGCTGCTGCTGATGCTGCTGCTGCTGCTGCTGGCACCTCCCCCTCGCCCAGTTCCGCTAGCGATGCGGACGCGGCCTCGTCTTTCTCTCTGTCGCGTCCGCTCTTGAAGCTGGACGACCGCCACATGGCCCGCCCTGGCGTCTGCACCTCCATAAACCGCCTCCGCGCTGGCTTTGCTGCCCGCTCCCCCACACCTCCACTCACTCCCACACCCCCCACACCCACACCCACACCCACTCCCCCTGCTGCTGCTCCTGTGCCTGCCCCGCCCACACCTCCTCCCAGTGCCAAAGGAGGCTTAAAGCCCAATCCTCTCGAACCCGCTCCCCCTTCGCCCCCTCCCGCACCTCCTTCCGCCCCGTCTTCCCCCGGGGTCCCGTCCCCCCCGTCCCCTGCCTCTCCAACACTCTCCTCCAGCTCGCTCCCCTCGTCCTCTCCTCCCCCGCCCGATTCATCATCCCCCTCTGTGGGAATAACAAGGCTCAGCGAGTTCTTCAGAGAAGGGGGGCCGTGGGGGAGCAAAGGGGGGCCTTGGGGGAGCGAAAGAGGCGGGGCTGAGGTGCTGCCAGTGCTGCTGCTGCGCCTGACAAAGGAAGGCGGGAGACTCAGGCGCACAGGAGAGTCGTCTCCGGCTGCTGCAGCTGCTGCTCCTGCTCTTGCTCCTACTCCTCCCACTGCTCCTGCTCTTGCTCCCTGACTCTTGCTGCGTACAGGAGACCCATCGCCTTCGTCCTCCTGCCATTTGCTACTAGCAGTGCTTTCAACAGCAGCAACTGCTGCAGCTGCTGTTGCTCTCCAATCTCCGCCCCCTCCAGCTCCCCCTCCTCCTGCCCCTCCCCCTGCACTCCCCCCCTTGTCATACCCAGGCCCAAACGACACCTGCATGAGGCGAGACCCTTCAGAATCAGAGAGAGACGCACCTCTAGAGTGAGAGCGGCGGCGCCGAGGGAACAGCGCCCCCCCAGCAGGAGCAGGAGCAGCGGGGAGAGGCGCAGGCATGGGCACACCAGCAGGGGCAGGCACAGGGAGGGGCACAGGAACAGGAGCAGGGACGGGGGCGGGGACAGGGGCAGGGGCAGGGAGGGGAGCATGTACAGGGGATACTCCCCCTCCTTCTCCTCCCACTGCTCCCGCACCTCCTCCCCTCTGCTTCTCCCCAGGAGGAGGGCGATTGGAGAAGATGGAGTAGTGTGAGGAGGAGGAGGGGGTTGAGGCGTCCCTTCCTGACGCTCCTCCCTTCTCCCCAAATCCCCCCACTGACCCCCACCGCCGAATCAACCGCCTTCCGGGTGTCTGCACTTCGAATCCGTGCCGCTCCCACCACCCTCCTCCTCCTTCCTTCCCTCCTTCTTTTCCTCCTTCCTTCCCTCCTCCTCCTCCACCACCCCCAGCAGCAGCACCCAAGCCTTCAACGTCCCCTCCCTTGCTGCTGCCGCCACTGTCCGGACCACTGTCAAACGGGGACTGATCCGAGATCACAAGCGACAGCGGCGCCGAGCCTCCGCTATCCGAGCCTGGGGACGAGGCTAGGCGAGAGGGAGCCTTCCCTCCTGCGGAGAGCAAAGAGGCGAATTTCCGCATCAGCTTCTTTGACCCACCCACCGAAGCACCTGCACCTGCACCACCACCAGCACCAGCACCGGCACCATCAGCAGCGGCAGCGGAGGAAGACATGCCGTCGGCGTCGTCGTTATCATCTGATGTGGCGCTGACGCTGGTCGGGATCATGACGTGTTGCCGATTCGCCATGGCAGCAAGAGAAGCAGCAGTGTCCACACTGACAGAACACGGCAGGGGACCAGGACCGGGAACCCCCCCTCCACCCATGCTGCTGCCCCCGGCACGAGCAGCAGATGAAGGCACAGGAAGGCGACCACCCCCACCACCCCCACCACCCCCAACACCAACACCACCAGCACCAGCACCAACTCCAGCGCCAGCAGTAGCAGAAGCAGGGAAGGAGCGGACGAGCGCGAGAGTGCCGACGACAGCGCGTGGGTCGGGCACGGGGCGGCAGGGCTGTAGCGTGAGGTCCACGCTGTAGCCCGCTAGATTACCCCTCAGGGACTCTGGCAGGGAGAAGCTGTAGCGTGGGGGGCGGAGGGGAAGGTGGGGAGGAGAGAAGAGGAGTGGGAGGTGATGTGTAATAGTGAGAGCATGAGAGGGGGAAAGCGAGTGAGTGAGTGGGTGGTTGGATGGATGCTCGCTTCAAGTAGCTTGGGTAGAGGTGCTATGGCAGAGTCAGGTGAATGCCGTGCAAGCTGTTGTTTTTTATTGAAGCTGTGCTCTCTGATTTAAACTGTGCTTCGAAATCAGATCACCATTTCACATTGTACATTCGTCTTCGCAGCTTGCGTCACATACCCGAGTTCTACCCCATCTTCTCATGCTTACCCGAGCTTCACCACACAAACCCCTCTCAATCCCCCCTCCCCCCTCCCCTCCCCTTCCGTTCCCATCCATCCTCCCAACATCTCACTTCCTCTCTCCCCACGCCTTCCGCCCTGCGCTCCCCTCACATGCCCCTTCCACTTTCTTCCATCACCCACCCCTTATTCCCCCATTTCCCCTGCCCCTTCTCAGCCCCTATCCCTCCCCTCACCGCAGCACAGCAGTGCCCCCCTCGCCCCCCGCAAAGACGTCCGCGACGGCGGAGCGCCACTGCGCCATGCGCACGCCCTGCGCCACGTCCAGCAGCGACACGTCCGCCAGCTGCTCGCGGCTCAGCCCCACCGCCGCCACTGCGGACCCGCTCGCCTGCGGAGCGGCGCGGATGTATGTGGGGGGTGCGGGGGACGCGAAGGGACACGCGCGAGTAGGCACAAGCGCGGGGATTGAAGGGGGGACGCGTGGGGGACGAGCGGGAACAAGTGGGGGGAGAGGGAGGGAGGAGGGAGGTGACGGAAGGGGGCGACGGAATGGGAAGAGCATTGGTGAATGGGGAAGAACGTACGACGCGACTCCGTCCGTAACTGGTGTGCTTGCTCCGTATAATTCAAATCGATTATCTTGTTTACAAAGATGCAATTCAAGCCAGCAAGCAAGCTCTAGCGTAGCCCACAAAGCGCAAAGCGACAAGACGACACACACACCTGTACGACGCGGCCCGTCCAACGGTCCAGCAGCATCATCATGGCGCGCGATTGTCCCACAAACATGCTCGCGTGCGACGACGACAGCGGGGGGAGCGCGGGGCCGGGGAGCGCGGCGGACGGCGGAGCATTGGCGGAAGGAGCCGCGGGTAGAGGCGGGGAAGCGGTGGACGCAGGAGGCGGGTAACTGGGAGCGGAATTTCCGGCGGAGTACGCGGGGTGGACGGGCGACAACGTCGGGGAGTTAGTGGACAGAGAGCGCGTGAACACCGGACCCCGGCCTCCGCCGCTTCCGCCGCTTCCGCCGCTTCCGCCGCTTCCGCCTCCCCCTCCCCCACGAGTACCTCCGCTGTCAGTGCTATCACCACTACCGCCGCCTAAGGCGCTGCTGCTTCGCGAAGACATCTCCGCCGCCTCTCCTAAAAGAGGCGCTGGCGGAGGGGTCCCCATTGCGCGGACGGTTGGCGGAGGGCCGGGGGAAGACGAGGGAGATTGCGACTGGTTACGGCGGCGCTGCATTGTCGCGAGATGCGGGGGAGGGAATTGGTGAGGGGAAATGGGGCCAGTGGAAGGAGAAGAGGACGAAACCGACAGCGCTGCTACTAGCAAGTCGTTGCTGCTGCTCCGCCGCCCGCCTAGGCCGGAATTGCCTCCGCTTCCGCCCCCGCTTCCGCTTCCGCCTCCGCCTCCGCCTAGGAAAGGGGAACTGTTGGTGGAAGAGGCTCCGCCAGCGAGAGAAGAGGCGGTTAAGCTGCCGCTGCTGTGGGAGGCATGGTGGTGCGGACGTAGCATGGACGGACCCGGGGGGCTGTCGACAGAATCCATTAGCGAGCTTCGCAAACGGTCGCTGTTACCAGACTTGTCGCCGATCCCTTCGCTTAACCCAGCTTCCGGAGATTCGGAACGCGATGCCGCGGCGGAAGCGGCTACAATGCAGTGACCTTGGTTATATATGACTGCCTTGGTTATATATGATCTGTAGTGCGACGGGAGGGATCGAATGTGTTTTTGAGAATTCTCAAAAATTACAATGCAGTGACCTTGGTTATCTGTGATCGCAGGGACGTCAGAGAGCCGTTTAGCGTTAACTGCAGTGCGACGGGAAGGATCGCAGACGGTGGAAGCTGATGAAGCGATGATTGCGCGTGGGGACTGGAAGGTAGGACTGTGGGCCATTGAGGAGGGGAAGTGAAGAGCGAGAGAGGTAGAGAGAGAAAGAGAGAGAGAGAGAGAGAGAGAGCGAGAGATAGCGAGAGGGATCGAAGGCGGGAGAGGAGCACCACGATGATAATCTACGGGACAACTCTCATGACACCCGCAAAAGCCGCTGAGTTCAGTCAATGTCGGCAAATCTGCGGCGCGTTCGGCACCTGGGCTTCCGCCACGGGTGGAAGAGCGAAGGCGACATTGGCCTTACCATGCTGATTGATAGACATGTCGTGTTTGACCTTCCAATGGCGAAGGAACGAAATCGCGTTCTTCTACGCGTCGAGTAGAACGCCGACTAGCACGTCATGTGAGGTGAAGCCAGGTTTTGTGTTTGGTTTGGTAATGGCATTGGGTCCTCTCCCTCTCTCCTCTCCCCCCATGAGGACATTATCCTGATGAATGCCGGCTTGTTTGGAGGTCAACGCTGCGTTTCGGATACAGTACATTCACCTATGGGTTGGGCGGGATACACAGCATCCGTTGTGGAATAAGTCTGTGTGACAGAATCCTAAAAGTCTGGGGCCTTGAGAATGGGTTTCAGTACGGAGCAGGGCAAACTGAACCTGGAGTAAAGCAGGTGCAGCAGCCAGACAGACAGCGAACCAGACCAGACACGTGGTATGGGCTGGAAGGATGAGGTGAGGTGGTTGGCTTGGAGGTGTTGGCTACTAACGAGTATGAATTGGTGGAAGGGAGGGGAGTGTGTAGATGCTACTGGTCATGTACTGTATGTGTGTCACAGTACAGTACACTGACTGCTGCAACTCGCTGGCCTGAGGGCAATGGTGCTCTTCCCCACAACTCCTCTTGTGGACCTGGCTTGGTGCGGGTTCCATGTCCGAAAACACGGTGTTAAAATGAAACTGTACACAATGGGCTGTTGCACCTCACGTCTGGAGGGAAGGCAGGTGGACTCACGTTCAGAGATGGGTACAAGAAACTGGCCAAATTGTACTGGCATGCCGGAGAAATGGTGACCCTCGGTACGTGTTCCTGTGCAAATGAACGGGGTTCGGTTCAACTGTACGCCGTTGCACCTGAAACAGAAGAAGCAGGAATGGGTCAGAATATGTCCGCGATGCTGATGAACCAGTCTGTTGATATACTTTTGTACACTACAACACACAAGTGGAACAACATATATGTACTAGAAACTTTCCTCTATTGATGATTATATAAATCCATGTATGTCTAGAGCTGCCAGAGTGATATTAAAGTTAAAAAAACATTCTACGATCTTGGATAACCTAAATCTGTGTTGAACATTCTGCTCTTCTTCGTTCAGTGTATTATTATACAACCATCACCCTACCTGGAAATGGTCAAATGTAGTGATTTCTGAATAGGTGTGCCTAACGGGAAGTTTGCGCCACAACCAAGGATTTGCATTTTGAACGGCTAGTCAAGCCTAGATTTGGGATGATTAGGTTTGGCGCCGACATCGCTTTGGTGCTCTCCATGCCATGCTAGCTGGTCTGGCCTCTTTGCTTTGTCTTCGTTACGTCAAATTCAGCCAACGGTCTGGTCTGGCCCCTGGGTGGAACCATGGTTACCATACCCACCTTGGTCTGCTTCTGGTTTGGGGCACGGTCAAATCGCCAAATTAGCTCCTCCTTACAGGCTCCCTCAACCAATCACATATCATCCGCCCTCCAACTCGGGGGGCGTCGTGACGGCACATTTCCCCTGGGAATCTTCCCGCTTTCGGTTCGGGTGATGTTTGCTGGGTTGGTCTGCTCTGCCCTCGTGTTTCCCAATCGATGCGTGACGTGAGGAAAGACACCCAGGGCAAGAAAGTCTATCCATGTCAACCCAACCGATTTTCACACACAAACAAACTCACCCACCACTCATCCCCCCTCTACCAACAGCTGTCCCATCATTGTGTGGTGGCCAAGCGTTGTGTGTGTGTAGGTTCAACCCAGGTCCCCTTGGCAGCATAGCTGAACCTCGATCCTGTCGAACCTGTTCGCTGAGTCAGGTTTTTTAAGAATTGTTTCTCCAAAAACGATCCCCGCATTTCGTAGGACTTCGTGGTTGCCTAATATCTCCGTCCTCCTTAGTCTCTGCGAGGCGGGGATTGTGACCAGGAAGGATGCGCTCTTTCCATTTCCCCGCTGCATTGCGAGATCGCGCTACTAAGTCTGACAGCCAGTTATAGACAGTCCGAGAAATCAACACGAAACAATGGCGTAGTTGGTTGAGTAGCACTCAGTACCCAGCTCGACTTCTCTGAATCGTCAGTTCTAGTCCGCAAGTCGTGCGAGGAATCTGGAGCTTGGATGCGCGAATACAACGGATCATGAACTGTGCATGCTTCCGCGGCATATTTGGGAGGTGCGAAACCTCACCTGTACCAGAACCCGTTGCTAGCCATGATGTTCCGTATTCTAAGTCATCTCCGTCCAATCCCTTTAATTTTAGCTAGAAGATTGGCGAGCAACTGAATCCACCTTACTTCTCTAAATCCATTCCTGATTCTCTTTCTGTTTCACGTGCAGTTCATCTTCCAGGGAACCACCACCCAAGGAGGAGCAGGAGCCAAAGCCTCTCGAAGCTCCGCCTCCTGTTCTCCCGCCTCCTGCTCCCCCACCCCCGCCTCCCCCACCTCCTCCTCCTCCCCCGCCTAAGGCCCCCCCTCCCCCTCCTCCTCTCAAGGCGCCTGGCTTCAGCCGCGCAAAGCCAGCAGTGCCACTGAAAGGATTCCACTCGACCAAAGTCCATGATACCGCAGGAACCATCTGGGGGGAGATTGCCAAGGATTCGGAGTTTCTGCGCTTGAAATTAGATGAACAAACGAAGGAACACCTGCAGGTGGTTTTCCGCGCCAAGGAGACGAAGGTTAAGATCGGCGGGAATCAGATCGCTGGGGGAGGATCAGGGACCGGGAGGGGAAACGTAGGGGGAGCGAATGGCGGAGGAGGAGGAGGGGGGGGAAAAGGGGACGGGGTGGTTTGCATCGTGCCCGTGCAGCGGGCGAATAACGTGGCGATTATGCTGTCGCAGTGCCGCATGCCGCACGGAGTAATTCGCGATGCTATCATGGGTGGTAACCAGAAGGGAGTGCTGTCGTTGGAGCGACTGGACCTTCTACAGCAGGTGAAGAAGGGCGAGGAAGTATCGGGGAGAGGCAGAGCGGGAGGGAGTGGCGGGAAAGTGCTAGTATGAGATGTTTGGGAGGATGTGCGGCAGTAGAGCAAGTTAAGGGATTGAGAGAGCCAATATGTCTCGTTCATTTACCTTCTCCCCACCTCATCCCCTTCCTTCCATCCCTCCCATTCTCCCTCCGCTTCATTTCATTTCTTCGTCACCACTCCTCTCACCAATCCTCTGTCATTTCTCCCTGGCCCTCTTTCCCCGTCTCTCCCCCCCTCTTCCCCCATGTTCCCCCTCCCTCAACGTACACCGCACCCCGCCATCCCTGCAGGTGATCCCCAACGACGACGAGGTGACCCAGCTGCAGGCGTACACAGGCCCCGTAGACGCCCTCTGTGCGCCCGAGCAGTTCCTCCTCACCCTCGCCTCCATCCCCCGCCTCCGCGACAAGATCGAGGTCAGTCCACACCGCAGTAAGCGTCGAGGTCACACACACACACACACACACGCACACACACATGCTGCTTCCTCGCGCTTCACAATCGGAGTGCCGCCTGCAAGCACTACCCCTTCATCTGCGCTGTCTGTCTGCTCGTCTCGTTCAATTCAACCACTGCCCCTCCGTGTGGTGTGCCCGTGTGTCCGTGTGCGACCAGGTGCTCGTATTCATGCTGCGATTCGCTGACCTGCACAAACAAGCGCACACCATCATGGCGACCGTCACACGAGCATGCCAACAGGTCCGCTCCAATCCCAATCCCACATGCTGCCAACGCACCCCCTCCCCCAATACTCTCCGTTTCCCCTCCCATGCCATAATACCACCTTTCACGCCTTCCCTTCCAGCCTCCTGACTCCCACGCTCCCTTCCCACCTCAGTGCTCCTCTCTCACACGAAACTCTCCCTCACGTCTCCTCTCCCCTTTCTTCTACCTTGTCCTCAGCGCGTGATTGTGTCTCCTCCCTGGGCGTGGCTGTGTCAGGTGCACAGCAGCAGGGCGCTGAAGGCGTGTTTGAAGGTGGCTCTGGAGTATGTCAACTTTCTCAACCATGGCACTGCACGAGGTACGACTTTTGAGACGTCTCAAAATCAGGGCGCTGAAGGCGGGTTTGAAGGTTTCCCTGGAGTACGTCAACGTCCTCAACCATGGCACTGCACGAGTTGCGCCAACCCTACTGCCAACCTGCTGCTGCTGCGGCTGCTGCTGTTGCTGCTGCTGCTGTTACTGCTTCAGTTGCAGCTGCTCTACTTGTTGCTGCTGTTCTGGTATTCCTTGCATGAGGTACCATCAATCACCCCTTTCTCCATATTTCTGCGCTCTTTTCCCCTGCATCACCACCCCCCTCCCTTGCACAATCAACCTCCAGCTGGAGCCGCTGGATTCAACGTGGAGTCTCTGCCTAAGCTCTTCGACCACAAGACCACCGTCACCGTCCCTCCACCTCTTCCTCCCAGCACACCCAAACCCGACTCCTCCAACTCCCTTCTCACCCCTGTCCAGCGCCCTGTGCCACGCTCCCACTCCCACACTGACTCCACCCAAATCAAATCCCCACCCGGGCTCCACATTCAAATCCCACAAGACCACTCCTCGTCCCTTCCCATCCACCAATCCGCCTCCCTTCCCTCCCTGCACAACCATCCGTCTACCTCCCAGCCGCCCCCAACCACGCCGCTCCCCGCCGCCGCTCTCACGCCTGCAGCAGCGGCTCTCTCCCCAAGGCCCATGTCTCCGGCTGCTGCGTTCTCCCCAAAAGCAGTTGCCATGGCAGCTGCAGCAGGGGACGCGGATGCTCTGAGCAGTGCCATTCTGCGCGCGTCCTGCCTGCTGGAGGTGGTGGTGCTGCGTCTTGCTGCCACTGGCATCGTCACCCCGCCCTTTGAAATGAGCAAGGAGCTCGAGGCCGTGGGGCTCGCTGCTAAGTACTCGCAGGTAGGAGCAGGGCTGGGCGCAGGAGTGATGGGTGAGAGAGATGAGTGGGGTGGGTGCGCCTTGCTGCGACTGGCATCGTCACCCCGCCCTTTGAAATGAGCAAGGAGCTCGAGGCCGTGGGGCTCGCTGCTAAGTACTCGCAGGTAGGAGCAGGGCTGGGCTCAGGAGTGGAGGGTGAGAGGGGGATTAGTGGAGCGGGCAAGGAAGGAGGTGAGGTGGAACAAACTAGTCATATGGCATATATACGAAATCTGTGAGTGCTGTCCCCATTTCTGCCCCTTTTTCCTCTCAGGTTTCAACCCCCTACCCCCCTCCCCCCCTTCTTTCCGCCTTCCATTCCGTGTCCCTTGTGGCAGGACGAGATAGACTCCTCGTTGACGCCAATGGACCAGGGCATAGCCATAGTGGAGCGAGAGCTCGCCTTCCTCATTCGCGATGAGGAGGCAGCAGCAGCCGCAGAGGCAGAAGCCGAAGCAGCAGCTGAAGCCGCTGCTGCTGCTGCAGCCGCCGCCGCCGCGGCTGCCGCTGCTGCAGCCGAAGCAGGAGGCGATGTGGTTGCAGAAGCACCCGCAGGGTCAGAAGCAGCGCAAGGGGGTGCGGCGGCAGGGAGGAAAGGGGGTGGTAGCTCCAGGCGGGGTTCGGAGGAGGAAGCAGGGGGCGAGCTGCTGTCGCAGCAGGCAGCAGCGGTGGCTGCAAAGCAGTCGTTACGCATAGGAGCACCTGAGAGGGAGAGCTGTGACTCGGAAATAAGCTCTGGGTCTGTGACTGGTGGGGTTGCAGCGTCGTGTGCGGGGCCCTGCTTTGCCAAGGAGAAAGGGAAGCGGAGGTCTGTGTTTGGGGTGACGTCTCGGGTGAGAGGTGCAAAGAAGGAGAAGGGGAAGGAGATGACAGGGAAGAGTCAGGCGGCAGTGCGAGGAGCAAAAGGGCAAGCAAAGGTGCGAAGTGGTAAGGGTGCTGTTTCCAAGGGTGAAGAGATAATGGGCGGAGGCAGCACAAGTAAAGGCGCTGAGTCGAAAGCTCCTGGCGCTGCTGCTGCTGCTGCTGCTGCAGGCCCTGGCCCTCTACCCCCTCCTCTTCCACCTTCATCTCTTGCTGCCGCTCCTCCTCCCCCGCCTCCCCCTCCTCCTCCTCCTCCTCCTCCTCCTCCCGCACCCCGTCCTCCCCTGCGTCTAGCCCAACCACAGCAGAAGCAGCAAGGCAGACAGGAGGCGACAGAAGGGGGCAGGGGCGCCGTGTGCACGTCTGTTACCCATGTGGAGGGGGGAGTGCACCAGGGGGCTAGAGGGACGCTGAGAGGAGATGTGGGTGATGAGGCAACGTCAGCCCTACTCTCTGGTGCGAATTCCGTGAATAGTAGACTCGCTGCGGCAAGTGGTGCTGCCGCTTCTGCTGTTGCTGCTGTGGATGCTTCTTCTGCAGCTCCGCTGTCCAAGGCAGTGCCTCCAGCAGCTGGTGTAAATGTTGTTGCTTCGAGCAATGGGTTGAGTGCGGCTAAAGCGAGTGGCGAGGTGTCGTTTGTCGGGAGCGACAGTAAAGAGGGCAGCAGCGCAGAAGCAGGCAGGGGGGGGAAGGGCCGAGGAGGGAGAGGCAGAGGCAGAGGGCGGGGCCGAGGGAGAGGGAGGGGACGAGGTAGGGAAGGATCCGGAACAAGAACAACAGGGCGTGGAGCTGACCTGGTCTGCATAGCACCAGAGGCACGGGCAGAGATGGCAGCAGGAGCAACGCTGAGCTCAGGCTTAGGATCCTCTCTAGCAGACACCAAGGCACAGGGAGCACAGGGAGCACTGGGAGCACAGGGAGAGAAAGCTCCGGCCCTGGGTTCCCGGAGGCTCAACCCTTCTGCTTCGTCGTCCGGCCGCGGACCAGTGAAGCCGATGCCTATCCTTCGACTGGGGTCCATTCACGAGCAGGATGAGAATGCTGATCCCACTCCCGCCCCTCCCACAGGCTCCTCCTCCGCTCCTCCTCCTCCTGCTCCCTCCCCGCTCTCCGCTCCTCCTGTTTCTCCTGCCCCTCTTCTCACCTCCACAGCTAGTGCTAACCAAGCCCCACTTGGTGCTAACACGAGTAGCAACAGTAGCAGCCACAGCAGCAGCAGTGGCGGCGGCGGCGGCACCGCTGCAGCTGCCTCCACACCTGTGTCTAGCCGCACGAGTCTTGGCGATTGTTCTAACCCGCAGCTTGATGTGACTCCAGGGCAAACCACGACTGCTACGCCAGGACTCGCCTTTGGTACGCCGATTGCTGTAGCGCCTGCTGCTGCTGCTGGTGGTTTTACAGGCCAGAGCCGCTTGCTGCGTGCTGCGGGTGGCAGTGGGCCGTTCAGGCTTATGAGCGAGCTCAGGGACTCGAGCAGTAGCAGCAGTAGCAGCAGCAGCAGCAGTGATGGTGGTGATGATGAGGAGGAGGAACAGGAGGAGCGTGAGAGGCTTGGCAATGGCACTATGCAGCATGGTGCTGATGGTGAGGGGGTGTTGTCTAGCGGGGATGGGTGGAGTGGTGAGCTGAGTGGTGAGCTGAGTGGTGAGCTGAGTGGTGGGGCAGGGCGCAGGCTGGCACGAGGAGGCGGTGGGGGCGGGAGAAAGAGGTCCACACGGCCAACGTGCGTGGTGTACCGTAGGAGTCCGTTTGACGGGGCTATCACCCCCTCCCCAGGCACCAAACGCGCGTGGTCCGAAGGCAACCTGCTTGTGCGGCCCGAATTCCTTCTACGGGGCTCTGCACTGAAGCCTGGGACAGCAGAGGCAGGGGCAGGCGGGGCAGCAGGACGGGGAGGAGGCGGGGGGAAGCAGGCGGAATCAGAGGGGAATGTGGAAGGGGAGGCGTCTGTCTCTGGGCCCGTGCAAGGGGGAGAGGATGGAACTGAGGTGACACAGAATCCAGGCAGTGGGAATGAGCAGGGACAGGAGGAGCAGGAGCAGGAGCAGGCGCCTCGAAAACGCCTGCAACCATTGTTTGGAAACTGCTCCTCTCCCCTGAAAGCTGCGACTGGGGGTTCCAACTTGGGCTGTCATGCTGCTGCTGCTGCTTCTGCTGCTTCTGCTGCTGCTGCCGGCAGTGGTGGTGGTGTTGGCACTGAAACCATCGGCAGCAGGAGCAGCAGGCGCGGATCAGGTAGGGGCGTTGTGCGGAGACACAAGAAGGGCACCAGCGGCAACGCTGCTGCTGCTGCTTTTGGCGGTGGTGCTGCTGGCGTTCGCAGCAGTGGCCGGATCCTCCCCCGCACCCACAGTGACCCCACTCAGCTTGAAAGCCTCGCCTTTCACGAGTTCCTAAAAGAAATGAGTGCCTCGCGCCCTGCTGCCTGTGAGTGTGGTAGCGGCCTGTGTGTGTGTAAGGGAGGTCACAGTAAGAGGAGGAGGGGTGATGGGCCTCGCTCTCTGCTGGCGCATGGAAGTCGCAGCGTGTCTGTCACAGAAACAAACCTTCGTGGTAGGGCCTACTCTGCTGTCTCCTCTGCTGCCGCCTCTGCTGCTGCTGCTGCGGCTGCGGCTGCGGCTGCTGCTGCTGCTGCTGCTGGTGCTACTACCTTGTTCCAAACACCAGCTCCTGCAGCTACAGGACGAGCAGGAGCATCAGCAGTAGTGGAAAAAGCTACAGGAGAGGCAGCAGGAGCAGGAGCGGAAGCAGCAGAAGCAGAAGCGAAGCCACTGCAGCGGCTGCAAGTGGCCCGAGAGCTTGAGCGACTGCTGAGGACCCCACCTCCCGGTGCCGCCGCCGCTGCTGCTGCAGTTGCTCCTGCTGCCTCTGCTGATTCTTGTGCTGTCACTAGCATCTGCTCTGCTCCACCCGGGATGCAAATAATGAGCAGGTACGGCGCAGAGGAGGTGGAGTGTGGTGAAGAGGCATGCAGTGCGTCGGTGGGAGTGAGGGCTGGTGATGAAAGCAAAGGGATGGTGGAAGTGAGAGAGGGAGTGGAGGGTGGAGCAGGTGGCATGAGGGAAGTGAGATCGTCTGGCAGGCTAAGGGTCAGTGTACCAGTGAGAGAAGCGTGTGACAGGGTAGGAGGAGGTGGGATGACGGAAGGGATTAATGAAGCTAACGAGGACGCAGCTAAGGAAAGGGAACGGGAAGGTGGTGGCAGCCTTTCCTCCCAGCGAGGGAACGGAGCAAGAGATGCAAGTGAAGAGATGAAGGGGACTGCTGCAGAACAAGCAGAGGATGATGAGGTGGAGGCGGAGGAGGAGGGGGAGGAGGAGAGGGAGTGTGACGAGGATGGCGATGAGGAGTGGGATGAGGAATGGGATGAGGAGGACGACAACGACGACTGGGAGGAGAGGGATGATGCGTCAACAGAGGAGGGGCGGAGGGAGCTGTCTCTGACAGAGCACCTGACAGCGTTTTTGGACAAGGCTCGCCCCGAGAGGGAGAGGCTAGCGGAGGAAGCAGCGAATTGCAGGTATGGCCGATGATGGCTTGCTACTGCTGTGTGTACCAGGGACTTCTATTCTGCCCCCTGAATTTCCCCGCTCTCTGGCACCTGACTTGCATTTTTTTCTGAGAATTCTCAAATACACTCTGAATTCTCAAGAACACGATGGCTTGCTACTGTGTGTGTGTGAAGGATTTCTGTTCTGCCCCCTGAATTTCGCTCCTCTCTGGCACCTAGCTGGCATCTGGATCCTCCTCCCTGTTGTGTGCTGGTGCTGTGCCCGCTTGCATGTGTGCATGTGCGTGTGTGTCCATGTGTGCATGTGTCCTTGGGTGCATGTGTCCCATTCCTCAGGGAGCAACTGAAGGCTCTCGCAAAGTATTTTGGGTCCTCGCCAACTGTAACACCACAGGTGTGTACAGCTCGTGAGCTGAGCTCTACCTCGATATGTTTTTTTCCAGAGTTACCAGTACCGGTACCTGTACCCCTCCACAAACCTCCCCCCTCCCCTTGACCATTGTATCAGTCACTCAGCAGTTGGGGTCACATGATGTTGGTGTGACATGCTGCTTCAACTCCAGTTGTATGCATGCATGCGTTTTCGTCTTGCTGCTTCGCTTTGCTTTACTTCGCTTCGCTTTGCTTTGCTGTGCTGCAGGCTGTGCTTGGGATCATCTGGCAGTTTGCTCTGCTCTATGACAAGAGCCAGCGCTTGAGTGGCCTTCTCTGACTGCCTCGTTCCGAGGAGCTAACAACGCACACGCGCACACACGCATGATCTAATTCCAGTGCCTCATCTTTCTTGTCTATCATGAACAAACTACTCTGCCAGAAATGCTCCTGTCGTAGTGGTTGTTCTAATTCCTGCCACACCTCCTACTGATAGGGGCGTTGGTATGAAAGTTAATGAACTATATTAGTATCAATTACACACTGGCAGTTTCTCTACACATCATTCGTTGGACAGTATAGATGGGTGGGACACTGGGCTAAGCTCACACTGGTGCCTACCGACATCACCCCTAGCTGGACACTAGAATCCGGATTAGCACAAAACACGAGCCCAAACCCTAGCCTTGATCAGTCCATGTACCGTACAAGTATCACACACAGCGAAACCCACTGCAAAGAGCTACCGCTCTTCTCCTCTCCATCCACCCCCATTCCTATCACTACAATCCCTACCACTCTATTCTCTTCACTCACATCACATCACACGTCTGGCGGAGGGGGCGCACCCGTGCCACTCACATCCCCTGCTTTTTCCGCCTCTCTAACCCCCCAGAAGCTGCTCAAGCTCCCCGTGCTGCCAGTGTTCATCGACGTGAGCACACTCACCATCGTCTCACTGATCTGCCGCTGCTCCTGCATTCTCTCCTTCAACTCTGCATCCACCACCTTGTGCGACTTATGCACCGGCTCCTCCCCACCGCACACCTCGGATCGAAGAGCCTCCATCTCCTGGGCGATGCGCCCCATGGAGGGGCGGTCAGCAGTGAAGGTGGCCGTGCAGCGTATGGCCAGGTCTGCGATGCGTTGCAGGGCGCCTGGGGGAGTGGGGCCCATGCGCGGGTCTGCGATTGCCTCTGCTGACCCCTTGCTCAGCTTCTCCCGAACCTGTGGTGGAATGGGGTGGAATGGGGTGGGATGTGGTGGAAGGAGGTGAGGAGGTAGAGAGAGGAAAATTGGCTCAGGGTGATGGGATGGGAGTGGAGCGGGACGGAAGGGAGGAAGAAGGGGAGGAGAGGGAGAGAGAGTAAGAGAAGAAAGCGGAGAGAGGGGGGGGGGGGGGGGGGGGGGGGGGCGCTGCGTACCCAATCCAGGATGTAGCAATCACTTTTGGGAATTTCCACTTTCAAACGTGCGTACCCATTCGAGGAGGAAGTAGGAGCAGCCATTATCGTCAAAGTTGGCATGCTTTCCCGTGAGCACGACCAGCATGAGAATACCGAAACTGCAGCACACATGCACATGCGCACACCCACACACATGCGCATGCACACAAACAAACATATTCACACACAGAGAGATGCAAGAACACACATCGCACAAAAGAGATTGAAAACGTGTGGTCCAGTTAGGGCAGCAAATTAGCAAACGAATTCGGCAAGCGTCTGCAATACACAAGCGCAATACTAGTATGTCAAGCACATGCCGTGGACTGGCTACTGGCACAAAAGCAGATAAGTTCACCAAAGTTGAAAACTGAATGGTGCCTGGCTGGCTGGAATGACCCATCACCTGTAGACATCGGTTGCAGGAGTGGCCTTCTGTGTACGAGAATACGCAGGGTCTACAAAGCCAGGTGTGCCCATCACTCGCGTGGCTTGCACGGTGGTGCCCCCCTCCACTCGCACGAGACCAAAGTCAGCCACCTTGGGCTGTTGTGCAGGGGTGGAGATAGGGGCATGTATGGTTGGGTGTGTGGGTGGTGAATGGATGGATGGATAGTTGGACTGATGGACTGATGGATGGACGGATGGGTGGATGGTTGTACAAAAACTAAACAAGACAGCAGAAAATGCTACAGTGTCTTGGCTGGCCCTTCCATTGCACTGCCACCTACTCACCTGCATGTTGCTATCCAGAAGGATGTTAGCAGGCTTGATGTCGCGATGCACGATGTCAAAGCCATGCAGGTACTCAAACCCGCGCGCTGCTCCGATTATGATGTCGAGACGCTGCTTCAACGTCAGGGGCGTGGGCGCGTCTGCACAGCCGCGCACACATAGGAATGCAGGGCAGGCAGGGGTAAGGGCGGAAAGGAGAGGCCATGGTGTGTTGTGCAATGCTCAGTTGCTGTTTCAATCCCAGGGGTGAGTGGGCATCAGGTGGAACAATGTAGAATAGAACCCTCACACCACCTCCTACCCCCCACCTTTGCCGAGCCACTTGTCAAGATCCCCATTGGAGATGAATTCGTAGACGAGAATCTGTTCGATGCGCTCCCGCAGATCACCACACGTGGCGTAGCCCAGCAGCCGCACCAGGTTGGGGTGGTGCTTTGTTGCCATTTCGCTCACCTGTTGGGGGAGTGTGAGCGCAGCGGGGGTTGGGGGGAAGGGGATGAGGAAGAAGAGAGAATGGAGATGAGAGGTAACGGTGAGGGAGATTACTTTGAGCCCCCTAAAAATCCCTCTCAAATAATAGTTTGAGGCGCCTCAAAACTCGCTCTAAAGAAGCATGGGGCGAATCTAAAAGGCCCACTCTATTGCTTGCAAGCCAGAAAGGCCAACCCACACCCACCACACCCACGCACGCACCTCCCGCTGGAAGTCGTTGGTGATCACTTTGGCGCGCTTCACAGCCCACAGCGTGACACCATCATCGGGCGACACGCCCTTGAAGACGTCTCCGAAGCCCCCCGACCCCAGCAGGTTGGCCTCGGCCCAGTTGTTTGTGGCCTGCTCCATCTCGTTCATCGTATACTCCACACACACGCCCTTTGCCAACGCTCCTGCATCACAAGGAAGGGGAGAGAACGAAGAAAAAGGATGAACCCTTTGGCAGTGTCATTCATTCATCTGGCACTGCAATGTCACAGTGCCAGATGACGTTGCAGTGGTGGCGTGGTGGTGGCGGTGATGATGATGATGATGCAAGTGACGGTGATGACAGGAATACGGGGAGGTTGTGAGCCTGGGCTCTTGAGATGTTTGTCGACTTGTACGTATATATGTATGTGTATGTGTATGTGTATGTGTATGTGTATGTGTATGTGTACCATAGCTTTTGAGTCACCTTAACAGGGCTCTCTGCAGAATCCGTGCAGACTCCGTGCCAGAAAGAAAATCGACCATCTTTGTCTCAACTCAACTCAACGAGCATGACTTACCAAAGCAAAAAACCTTGTTGTTCCTCTTCTGGAGGTAGAAGAGCACTCCACCCAGCAGTGCGAGCAGCAGCGCTTTTGAGGCGCCTCAAAACTACATTCCTTACCGAAGCGAGAAACCTTGTTGTTCCTCCTCTGGAGGTAGAAGAGGACTCCACCCAGCAGCGCGAGCAGCAGCACCACCACCCCACACACGATGCCGATGATTGACCCCGTTGACAAGCCGCTGCTGCTGCTGCTGCTGGTGCTGGTGCTGACGGTGGCGAGGGGGCTAACAGGGGGAGGACATGCACACAGGGAGCAAGGAGAGGGTGAAGGTGGGAAAAGAAGGGGAAAGATGGGGTATGAGCCTCGCTTGTTTTGAGACGTCTCAAAACCCGTTGCTGCTGGTTGCAGGTGCTGGCGGTGGCGAGGGGTCTAACAGGGGGGAGGACAGGGACGCAGGCAGCAAGGAGAGAATGGAGTTGGGGAAAGATGGGGCATGAGCTTTGCACAAGTGCGAGTTTGAGTGGCCCACACAGACCCACACAGACCCACTCACTCACACACTCACTCACTCACTCGCACACACGCACCTTTGCAGTTGATGCAGAGGCCTGGGGGCGAGCAGGACTGGCAGAAACTAGGACAGGTATTGCAGAAGGCAGTGATAGCATCCTGATTCACCACGCACACTCCCTCCTTGGCACACCTGGGGCCCACCGTCGCACTGAGAGGCGCAACTGAGCTGGAGAGGGCGAGGAGAGGAGGGGCAGGCCGTGCGTGCGTGAGGGGAAAGGAGTTTGCAGGGGAGCAGAGATGGTAAAGCATATGATTTTGGAGTCGACTCAATGAGAAGCACAAAAACTTTTGAGACGAGCAGAGGTACACAGCACACCACAGCACAGCACACAGCACCGCACTGCACACCACCGCACAGCACCGCACAGCACAGCACAGCACAGCACAGCAGAGCCGTACATCTCAGCAAGGCCTGTGAGGTTGCCCAGGGCTGCTGGAATCGTCCCCACCATTGTTGTGTAATCCAAGAGGCTGGGGGTGAGGGCGAGAGGAGGAGACGGACAGCGAAACAGCGCAGAAGGGTAAGAAAGGAGAAGAAAGGGGAAGAAAGGGGACGAGAGGGGAAGAAAAGGGACGAAGTGGGAATGGAGGGGGGAAAAGGGGGAGAAGGGGCTAAAAGGGGATGAAGAGCGCTTTTTGAGAATTCTTAAAAACCACTCGCAAGTTCATGTGCTTTTGTGGAGACTCAACACGATGGGTACTTTTGGAGGCCTCTTTTGAGGCGACTCAAAAGTTTTTTCGAGGCCTTGGATGCGCGCGATTGAGTTGGAGGCTTGCCAACAGGCACGGTTTGAATTCAAATAGTTGAGCTCACAGATGCCGTAAATTTGTTTGTCATCTGGGCCAGCCCAGCCCACGGATGCTTTTGTTTTGAGAAATTATAAGAGCCAACGTGCAACAAAAAGACGTGCCACCAGTAGTGTTGTGAATCTATAGCTTACAAATGTCGTAAGTTCGACATCTGGCCCAGGGACGCGGGAAGGGTGCCTGTGAAGTTGGTCCTGCCGATCTGCCTGGAGGTGCAATGGCAAGCAAGCAGGTGGGTAGAAGAAGGATGAAGGCTTTTCTTGAGGCGCCTTGCATCGAAAGAAGGGCGCCCATGAAGCTGGTCGCGCCGATCAGCCTGGAGGTGTAGTTGCAAGGCCGTGGAGGGACGGATGAATGAGCAAAACAGGTAATGAGGCGAACGGAGGGAACGACGCAGTTGATTGAACAGATAATGGTGTGGTGGTGGCACTGGTGGTGGTGATTGTGTGGCGGCAATTCAGTAGCAGAAGTGTGGTGGAATGGAATGGAAGCTGGGCTGTGCGCATTTCAGTCAGGTGGCATGTAGAATGCACAAGTAAGGCTGCATAGCAGTGCATGGCAATGGATGGCAATGCATAGCAGTGCATGGCAATGCATGGCAATGCATGGCAATGCATGGCAATGCATGGCAATGCATGGCAATGCATGGCTCACAGAAAAGTGAGGTGAGACAGGCGTGTGATGGACTCAGGAAAAGAGCCTGACACGGCGTTGTGATATAATGACCTGCGTGCAGGCAAGCAGAGGGAGCAAGGGCGTTGGTGACTTAGATGCATGCATGGATAGATGGATGGATGGATGGATGGACGGACGGACGGACGGACGGACGGACGGACGGACGGATGGATGGATGGATGGATGGATGGATGGATGGATGGATGGATGGATGGATGGATGGATGGATGGATGGATGGATGGATGGATGGATGGATGGATGGATGGATGGATGGATGGATGGATGGATGGATGGATGGATGGATGGATGGATGGATGGATGGATGGATGGATGGATGGATGGATGGATGGATGGATGGGAGGGCACATCCAAAGAGGGTGGAGGTGGAGTGTGGGCTGCAGCAGCAAGCAACACAAGTGCGAATACTGACAGGCATTGCAGTGGCTTTAGAGAATTCCCACAAGCAATTCTTGATAATGAATACTGACAGGAATTGCAGTGAGGTGAGGTTTGTGAGGGGGTTGATGGGGCCACTCAGATGATTGTATGCAAGATCCCTGTTGGAATGGGCAACATGGCAACGAATGGCAATGCATGGCAACGGATGCAATATCCCTGTTGGAATGGGGAGAATGTGTGCATGTGTGCATGTGTGGATGTGTGCGCGTGTGCGCGTGTGCGCGTGGAAGCAGGGAGAGACAATTTGCCAAGAAGACGCAGACAAGGAAGACAAGGCAGATAAGGCAGACAAGGGAGATAAGGCAGACAAGGCAGATAAGGTGGTGTTGTGGTGCTATGCTATTTTTGAGACGTCTCAGATGTTGTGATGGTGCTACAACCTGCAGAAACAACCAGTGCAAGTCACAACCGGCAAGCCCTCTTTTCTTTCTGCACCTGCACCACAGCCATGCGTGTGTGCTGTACCGTGTTCTGCGTACATGGAAGTGACCTTGGAGAGGTGGGATAAGGTGGCTTTTGAGTCGACTCAAAAGTCACCAGACCATAGCCATGCGTGTGTGCTGTACCGTGTTGTGAGGGGGTTGGTGGGGCCATTCAGACGATTGTACTGTGCTGTGCTGTGTTGTACGTACATGAAAGTGACCTTGGAGAGGTGGGATAAGGTGGCGGGTATGTCTGGTCCTATGTAATTGAAGGCCACTTGCCTATTGGGGACAGAACAACACGCACACACGCATGCATGCATGCAGGCAGGCACACACGCACATACACATGGACACACACTTGCACACGCACGCAACGACATACACACACGCACTCGGGTGCACACGCAAAAACTCATGCACACACGCACAACACATACATGCTCGCGGCTCCGACGTTCACATGCAGGCACGCAACATGCACATTCGGAAAACATAATCAGGCATACAAGATATGCGGTCAATATC